TGAAAAAAATACGATCTCTAAATCTATTCGAACCGAACATACTAGAATCGAATCTCGATTAAATTAAGCATTAACAGATCTATTTTTGATCAATCACGACATTTTCAAACATGCCTAATATGAACAGAGAACATTATTGACGATAATTTACCGTAAATACAAATAATTGTATAGAAACATCATTAAATTAATAAACATAACATCACACTTGTATTTCTCAGAAGGAGTAGGTAGAGATATGTAGTACTGTTATGTTATACGTCCCATGTAATAGAGGGTGCGCGTATTGCCAAACACCGGAGACAAATCCAGACTACGTGTTACAACTAGGAATATCAAGTTATAAAAACCCAATAATAAATTGTTGGACCCTGGGATTGAACCCAGAACAGAACAGTTTTTCTGTCTGTCACAAGGAACAGATGTTCCAACTATGCAAAAGTATTTCTTGAATCGTTTGAAATATTCTTGAATAAGTCCAATTCGAGAGGTTTTTGGATCGATTTATTGAATCGATGGAGTGTTCTAAGTCGATATTAGGACATTGGATAAGGATTTTTCAGATCTATATCGATCTGGAATATCGATTATTTTATTATAAACAATCGATTTCAAATCGACATGCCTACTTTATACTGTCATATTTCACTCTGTCAAAATTACATTAGTGGCGTTGTTTGCTCGTAATGTAGTTGTAAAAACAACTTATACTACCAATTAGGTGCTAAGTCAGTAAGGCTGGTTTCATAGTCACGCGTTAGAACAGCGCCGTCCAGACACACGCTTGCAAATGCACTAGATAGTAGTCGATAATATCCTATCCTATACATTTTGGTACTAGGTATCTCACCGTACCGTATATGCTAAGGACAACATCTAAATACTAACAACCATTATATACATACATTTTTATTTTTACATTAATGTACAAACATTATCTCTCATTTCGAAACCAATTCTAAGAAAGCAGCTTTGTTAACTAGATTCTATGCATTTATACGTTGCACTTACATACACTTAGGCTTGAGAACAAAAACTGCATACCTAATTGTCTAGATAGGTACTAAAAATAGCTAAATGTTTTAGGACATCGTTTTTCAGTTTGTTGAAAATCACTCGGAGCTATGAAAAACCGTAATATTCGTGGTTCGATTATAACCTCAAAATCTGATACTTTTTTTGAAATATATCTTTAATGCAGCTAGTCCGCTATAAAAATAAGATCATATATGAATTTACTAATGATCGACAATAAAACACATAATTTTCCGATGCTCTTGGTTCCAGGGCGAACAATGTATGGAAGCAGAGCAATGTCCTTTAATTGCTTCATGAAACCGTTATATTTTACCTTTGTACAGAAATAACCTAAAGGCGTAATTTTATGGCCGTTATAAACACATATTCTAATATTACATTTATAATTCAATGTTACGGTATGAAAGTATTGCAAAAAAAATTGTTCGGACATAACTGAAATGGCCGATCCCGAGTCCACTTCCATACGGAAGTTTTTATTGCTAATATTCACCACCACAGTAATAGGAGCCAAAGTCTCATACCAATTATTATGCAAACGGCACTCCATGCAGTCCCCACAGTCTCCATCTGATTCAGTTTCCTCCGTAACGGTATTGATGTTGTTTACGCGAACTTTACACATTTTTTTTAAATGACCTTTAATACCACACTTTTGACACCGATAGGTCCTATAACGGCACTTTTCTGCACTATGTGTTTTTAAACCACATACACCGCAACGGTTTGTAACCTCTTCTTTACACCCGTTACGAGATACACTCGCTCTGCCACTGCCACTGCTTCCACTGTCATCGGCAGCACTTACATGCATGCCCCCACTGCTTCTCCAACGGTTCCCGCCGCTCCGACGACTAGATTCGCCAGCTGAGTAATATACCTGCTCCTCCTTGATGTTAATACCTGTTTCGCTGCTTACTAGATAGAGCCTTGGCCTCTCTCGTATAAGCTGCCTGTTCAGCTATTTCTAAAGCCTTTGCAAAAGATAGACTTGAAATATCTTGCTCGAATAGTCTATCCCGCTCGGGGCCCGTCCCCAAGCCTAGGACGAAACGATCCAACAGAACCGTTTCTAAGGCGGTACCAAAGTTGCAATAACTTGCAAGGCCTCGTAGTCGCGCCGCCCATTCTCCTAATGGCTCGCCTGGGTTTCTTGTCGCTCCGTAGAATCTTGCTTTGTCTACGAAAGAACTGTGCTTTGGCTCAAAGTGCTTATCGAGTAATTCGACCAGTTCTCCGTAACTTAGCGATGCTAACTCGCGTGGGTACGCAAGGTTACGTACGAGTCGATAGGTTTCATCCGAGAAGTTTGCTATAAGTATTGCACTTTTATTATCTCCACTGATGTTATTGACTTTGAAAAATTGCGTCAATTTTCCTTTAAAAATCGACCACTCACTATTTTTATAGTCAAAGTTCGGTACATTTCCGATGTAAGCCATTTTTTTTTCTTTGTGGGTACTTGTACACACCTCGTCGCCAAATGTAGTGTATGCGATTTAAATGAAACAACCGTACTGCCAGAGAGCTGATTTATTACTGGCTCGTTCTTTCGAAGTACCAGTGCGCATATATATCACATACTCTTTCACACATTGACCCATTAATTCTGAAAGGATGACACCGACTCCCTGGCATGCCCGCTCGGTCTCGTCTACACCAGACCAGTAAGCGGTATACATGCCATATGCAGTGACATCTCTTCCCTTTCGTTTCATGTCTTTCACACATAACGCATCTATTCCTCTATCATTCATCATTTCACATATTTCATCCATCTTATCATTCATTGCTCCACATATCAGACGGGCCTCCGCAATCCACTTTTCACCCTTCCGGGAGACAGGATGTGACGGGTGGCGAACCTCGTCGCCGGTTTTCCTCCCGGAGATTCTTCGCACCCTTGCTCCATTAAAGGGGCGCCGGAAACTCGGGGCCATTTCTTTTAATTGTTGGCTCATGGTGCGATTAAGGCGTGGTAGATTTTACGCCGCTACCATACGGCGAGGAGCCGAGTCTATCGTTTCGGCTTTGTCGCAGCGTTAAGCTACTATTTTACGCTGGTATTCTATGAGAGCGTGGTCCTTCCCCGGTCGAGCCCCTCGTATTCCTACCCCTTTGTATTTTACCACGGGGAGTACTCTGAGGAATTGTTCAAATTAATCCCAGCCACCGAATTTCACGAACGTACATCGCGGCAAAACTCTCGATACCATCCACGCCATCTGGATGCTTGGCGGTCCACCACTGTATGTTTACTAGGAGTTTTCTTCCTCGTACGACCTCTCTGTGGAATGGTTTACCACCAGCGATTTTTCCGTACTGATACGACTTTGGGACCTTCAAGAAAAGAGCTTACACCTTTCTAAGAGGCTAGCAACTCACCTGCAATTTCGCTAGTGTTACAGTTGTTCATGGGCGACGGTAGTCACTTACCATCAGGTGAGCCGTATGCTCGTTTGCTCCCTCTCCTATAAAAAAAAAGTATTAATGTGTAGATGCAGATGCATCTCCTGAAAAGAAATTCTGGCGGTGTCCATGTGTTAAACTTGGGACTTAAACGTATGTATCATTGGCAGCAGTTACCGTGTTCTACGGCAATTGGGGAAATACTTCTAAAATCTATGGTCTACGGCAGTATCTTCATTTCTATAATAAACAGAAAGGAGAAAAAGACGTCTCCATACATTTTTGGGCCCAAGTGTTAACAAGATTAAAGTATGACCATTTGAAAGCGTATATATAAACAATTCATAGCTGAAAATTTGGCAAGATTTGTCAATCTAGGAGATGAGTTATTGTAGAATAAGTAAAATTGATATTATATATCACCCACACTGTAACAGGTGATTTTTCACTGCTATTACACCGTTACAGGCTATTTTTCACTATAATTACTTAAAGATATAAAAGCAGGATCAGTATAAAATTACCAAAAAAGCTGTGGTTAATAATGAAACCAAGTGGTACAACGATTAACAAAAGTTAAAACAACAACAACTAAGTGAAGTGAATATTAGGGAATCGATCTGAGATCGATTACTTGAATTGTTGTTGTAACTGTTACCTGTTGGAATTTTGATATTTGAATTTTTTATTATTATTTTGTAGGTATGTACGCAATTCTTTTATCTTCCTAGTTAACATAGAAAAATAATCGAAAATAGATATTATAATGCTCAATTAAATCGCGAATCGATTATATTGCGCTCGTTTCAAATCGAATCGAAAATCTGTCTTTTTCTTTTTGAAGTTTGAACTGTCAAGTCAAATTTCAAAATGAGAAGTCCTCTAATGGAAGATAACGTACAGAAACGAGAATTTCACTAGTGTATTCTTCATGGTAACCGATTTATTGCCGTAAATAATACAATCGATTTTCTAACTTATTTTTTTTTAAATTATTTTTTCGAAATCTAGATTGTAAAAAGAGCTACTTTTTGTATTTTATTTAAGGAAAATATGGACAATTTTTTTAAAGCATAAACTAATTAGTTAACTTCAGGCCCAAAAATCCCATTCTGCTTTCATTGCATCTATTTGATTCATTTATAGAACAAAGTAGTCAATGAAAAAAAATTATTCTGTCAAAAAGTGGAACCAACCTATATCCAAAGACGTGAATAGCAGTTGTATCTTGTCAATTTCACAACAATAGAAAAGCCTATGTTCCTTAAAAACAGGGCAACTTTGCTCACCGAACACGATAATTAAAATTTTGATTCTGGACTTGGCAACACTGGCTTGTGTTGTCAATGTCGACTTGGCCTAAAGGTCTAGATGCCAGGCCATAAACTCCAAAAAAAAAATCAATGTCGACTCAAAGTGTAATAAAATAATTTCAAATTTTACTAAAAATATTAACCAAAACGTAATTTTTTATTTTTCTCCAGTGATAAGTGAAATATTGTTTGAGTTTCTTTTAACTAATAATTGAATTTGATATTGCGCGTCAAAATACAATGGAAGTACAATTTGCACCAAATGCTGTTGATGAGCCGGTACTAATACTTCATAGCTCAAATTACGTTACTTTAGCTAACATAGTATCTTTTAGTTAAAATAATTAATTTTCTTTACAAATGATTTAAGTAATAAGGGTATCTAAGATGCAATAATTTGACGTTACTCATTAAACTTTTTTGTTTCAGAATCTTTTATATAAATTACAACGCAAAATTAAAGTTTTTAACACTAATAGCCCTTTACCAAACCGTGGCTACAATTTAGTGGCTAGTTCTAGCAAGTATGGTATTGTTTTCATTATTGCACCAAATAGCACATTATCAGGTAATGAGTACACCTCTTTTCCTTTTAATATTTAGCATAATTACTTAACCCTTTCCTTGTTATTTGAATCATTCATAAACATTTTTATTATATAGCTATTATATCTATTTCGTGGACAGTGTTGTATATTATTAAGTACTTAAAATTTACGTTATCATATAATATGATAGAATTTGCATTGTATGGTTGTGAGGAATGTGGGCTAAACCATCACAAAAAAAGGAAATTGCAAAATTTACAATTAGTATTGAGATATTAGGTTTAAGTTTTTAGACAAGACCAAACACAAAATGGTGGGTAAAGAGGAGAATGGGTTAAGGTGACTTACAATTTTCTTCGATAAATTTTTACTTTTTAATTAGTTTTTCTGCAAATAAGGCATTCCATCTTAATCCTCAGGGATGACAACACATCTGCATTTTCATTCTTTACTGAGGATAGATGTAGATGTCTGTGGGCCACAGCTTCCTCTTACCATCAGGTGGACTGCATGTTTGTTTGTCTTTACCTTTATTATATTTTAAAAAAGTAGGAGTATTCTTCCAATGTACGGTATGACTTTCCATTGACTACCGTCGAGTTGGGGGTTCATACGTATTTTTACAGAAAAGTTACACTATTATAAGCACACACACAAAGTTACAACATGCGGAACCGCATAACTTTTGAAAAAAAGTTATTGAAAATCAATTATTCTTGCATTGTTTATGTCTAATCCTACAATAAAACTGACGCCATTTTTTATTGTTATTGTCAGTAGGGATGTCTATTCTTTCCGAAAAAGATAGATTTTTTAAATAGATTCGAATTGTAAGCTGATGTATCGATTCCCAAAAAATCGATTTCTAAAATATCTATATTTTTTTCATGTTTGCATTTATAATGTAAATATAAATCCATTTTATGAGAAAAAAATCCCTTTCATCATAAAATATAGGGGGACTGATTCAGAAGGATTTATGGTATCTTTCTTGTTTTTCATAAAATGGAATTATATTTACATTATAAATGCAAACATGAAAAAATAGATATTTTAGAAATCAATTTTATGTGAATCGATACATCAGCTTACGATTTGAATCGATTTAAAAATTGACCTTTTTCGGTGACGACAATGACATTACAAAATAGCGTCAGTTTTATGGTAGGATTAGATATAAACAATGCAAGAATAATTGATTTTCAATAACTTTTTCTCAAAAATTATGCATTCCCGCATGTTGTAACTTTGTGTGTTATAATAGTGTAACTTTTCTGTAAAAATACGTATCAACCCCCAACTCGACGGGAGTCAATGGAAAGCTAAGCCCAATGTACTTCTGTATTTTAGGTTAAGGAAATATTACATAAACGTATTTTACTTCTATCTTGCAAAAATCAAAAACAATAACCCTTATTCATTATCTAAATTTGTTTACATTAACATATTTTATCCATAAAACAGCAAGCAAGCGATTTGAAGTGATATATTCAGTGACCTATAATTTCTTATTATAGCCTACTACTTGAGAGATCTTATAGACAAGGAATGTGAGCCACAACATGTGTCAATAAAACTTCAGATAGAACCAACACACATTGCAGTAAATTGTGATCAAGAATGGTTGGCAGTAATTAGCAAAACAATGCTCTTAGTGTATAAGATTATAGATTTTCAAAATCAGGTTAGTGTACATAAAATCTACTCAGTTTGTAACTTAATGGAATTCAAGGATATGTTAAATCCTAGAAAATCTAAAATCTGCATAAAGGTAATTATTTAAAATACATAGATGGAAATTTCAGTTATCATTAAGTTGTAAAGTTTTTATTAATATTTTTTCAAATGAAAATTCTGTTAAATCATTAATGTTTTTGTAACAAAATGTCTGAAATGAAATCCCTATAATACAGTGAAATGCCTTTAACATTGTGAATTAATGCCTGTAATGCCTTTATTACATTTTAATAGTATATTATGACACTGGAGGAAAGTATAACATAGCAACCCATGTGGTATTGTCCAGTTGTCTTAGAGGGCCTCCACTAGATGGAGTGTCAATATACCCAATGGAGTCAAAACTTCCTCATGAATATCCCTTAGTAAATATAGGCAACTTGCCATAGACTAGAAACCAGATCCGCTGCTTGGATCGGGAAGTTTGGTTCTTCTAATTGCTCAGTTTTGTTGGCCCCATAGCTGATGTGTAATGTACTAGACGGAGTATTACTGAGTTAGAGGTTAATATTACGGAGCAACCCAGTAAATTTTATTTCTCTATTAAAGAAGCTGATCACCCGGTGGTGATTACTGAAATTAAACCTTTAACCAACATTCAACATTCAGTCATCATAAAATATGAGCCTATGTTGTTGCTGTTTAAAAGCAATTCAGTATCTAGCTCTTACTCAACATGTAATATTTTATGCACCTGGAAAAATTGTATACACCTTGTATACAATATTAATATTGTTGCTTTGTGAAAACACACAAAACTGTTTGTGGACAGCACTCTAAATATTTCCGTTTTATATTTTTAATTATAATTTTTGTGTGAAATGAGATAAATAATGTACTATAATTTAAAAAAATAAATTTCAGAATATACTACCGTCATTCTCCGTAAAGTTGGATGTGAATCCATCAACTTTTGTTTCTGCCGTGCAATGGAATCCATGTATCCCAGACACAATTGCCATAGCATGTTTTGATGGTACTTTACTTGTGAGTCAAGTTAGTACCAGCCAAGTTAAGAAATTACAATCTAATGTAAGGTTAGTAACAGTTTAATAATTCAATTATAACATACTAGCGATCTGCTGCGACTTCGCACAGATGACTTCTGCATCTCGACAACACCTTCACTTACCAGATCCAATTGTGAATTTAAACTATTCTAGAATCAACTTCATCACATACGCAAAATTTCATCAAAATTGGTCCAGCCGTTTAGGAGTTCAGTCATATATACAGAGACAGAAGAATTATATATATAAACATTGGTTTCTTTTGTTTTAAATTATTCTAAAAAACCAGAGCTTTTCGCATCTTTACTTTATTTATTAAATTTTCATCATATTATTGAGCTTCCCTCATTTTCACCAATTGAATATTCTATACATTATTTGGTATATTATGTTATTGATATTGTGTTGTTTAAATAATTATTACAGATGTATTTGCTGGAGTCCAAAAGGCAAACAGCTAGTTACTGGCAACAACGATGGAACACTCTGTCAATATAAACCAGACCTGTCGCCAATGAAAACTGTACCAGTACCAAATCTATTTGAAGGAGCTGCGGTTGAAGCACTTGCAATTTACTGGATATCTACTTACCAATTTGCAGTAGTGTACAAAAATGCTACAGATAACAGTCGTCCAGGTGAATAAACAGTTTGTTTCATTATTAGTAGTTGTGAACTTGTTTATGAAATGTTATTAATTAGGGAATGCAATCTCACAAGATTTTGGATCTAGTTGAGGTTTACGAAATCTAGAGAGATTGGGTATGTTTTATTGAAAATGTATGCAAATGCTATTAATTTCATTTACTGATTATCAACATTTAAGATAAAAATAAAACATGGATTCATTTCACCCACAGCCACCCAATGATACATACAGATTATGCTACCCCACTCAATCACGCGAAATTTCACACAAAAATTGTATGAGACTCAGTCTTATAAAATATGGGTGAGACCTTGTGGGAATGAGATTGCATTCCCTACTATTAATATATTATATTAATATCACTGTTTGAATGCTTTATATTAATAAATTATCACTCTTATTTGTCTCATGAGAATCATAAGACATGACTAATAGAAGTGCCAGTAAAATCTAATGGTGGTACAATTTGTGGAATGCAAATGTAAATGAAATCCCCTAACCAGTAGGGAGAAGTTGAGTGAAGTTGCCACTCACTTGCCAAGCGTATGGCAAAGGTGCCCCCCCCCCCCCTCCTATGAAAGGTACACAATTTATGTTACTTGTAAATAATCATAATAATTATTACAGTCCATTTCTAGTTCTCTAAGAAACGTAGGCCAACAAAACACTGTCACTAAACAAAATCCTGGGCCAATTGTATCCATCGACTACTTGCATAACTTTTCATCTGGTAGGAGATGATCTACACTCCACATATCAGTACCAGGGTGCCACTCGAGTACCTTTCTTTCCAATAAGTTATCAGATTCTTGAGCTAAACAACTGTCCCATTACCACTTCAGTTTACTTATCCATAAATTATCACAACCAATCAGTATTAATTGCGGACTATCCATGTTTACCTAATTATCATATAATAATCACCACACTTATAACATTGGCACATGTTTTTTTTTCAGCTGTTACAATTGTAAATACTCCAAAAGGTGGTCAACCATCTTGCTACAATTATGAGGATATATGCTATAGCATGGGCTCAAATAGACCCTGGTATTATTATCTACAGGGATTAGCACAGTGGTATGTAAATTATGTATTATATTTAAAATGTATATGTATATTTTTGACTGGTAATTAAAACTGATTATTATATGTAATTTCAGTAGATTATAAGTAAACCTAATCATATAAAACATTCGATATAAATTGAATTAAATGAAAAATGGGATTACAAATGGCGTCACCTCTATACTTAGAGTATATAATTACAGTAGTATAGAGCGATAACAAATTGATAAAAACAAACACAAATTGCTTAGTACTCATCGTAGGCAATTGGGCTATAGATACTTACATTGATAAGTGTATAACAGATAGGGATGTATCAATTACGTACTGATCGGCAACGAGCTGTCGATAAGTTATGTAAATAAATATCTTTGTTAGGTACTTTTATGTTATTTTATTAATATTGTTGCGCGCCACTATTAATGTCTTGTGCATGGCAACACTAGTTACACTAGCGCCCTCTAGTGTCGAGTAAAAGAAAGTGTTGCGTGCCACTATTAATGTTTTGTACATGGCAACACTAGTCACACTAGCGCCCTCTAGTGTCGAGTAGCAGAACTAGGAGAGTCGAGATCCTTCCAGAAATTTCGGGACCGATATGTACTCGAACATTCTAGATGTCGCTACAGTAGAAGGTTCTGGAAACTATCTGAGGCCCTATATAAGGCCGGTAGAGACCACGACCGGGGCAGTATTGAATTGGCGATACAAGAGAATACTTCGAAGCGAAATAACGGCGAACTGTGTTTTATTATTAGTGTGATTTTAGATTGTAATTAGTGTTGTGTAATTAAAGTGTCAATTGTGGTAATTCAATCGGCAGTTTTTAATTGTCTCGAACCCCAAGCTCGTAACAATATGTTATTTCCTATACTATTCAATGAGAAACGTTTGTTTAGTTATTTATATATTTGTTTGTAATCATGAATCAATTATGTGTAGTAGAAATGTCAGAAAATCGTGTGGACTTGTTAAATATTCACGTTTATAAAATAAAAGATCAGGTTTAGTGTTAATTTTTTTATTAGTAAATCAAATAATAAAATGTTATTTACATGAACTATATTGAAAATCATTTAAGCAATTTAGATGTGATATCGTAACATTCCATACTTTACGTTTAAAAATATTAGAAAGTAAATCATACAAATCACAAATCAAAATTATTTATAATAAATAAGATTTTTAATATTAAAGTTACTTTTATATAATATGTAGTTCCCCTAGAAAACAGTTAAAAAAATATTTTAAATATCGACTACAGCGTTGGTCGCGTCCACGGAGCATTGTATTTGCTCCGTGGTCGCGTCACATTACAGTCAGTTGTCAGTCTCGCGTAGGGAGCGTGGTACGAGGGCGGGCCTGTGCGTTACCTCCTCCCACGTCTCCTTCACCCCAGAGATGCGTGATTTGTTTTCATAAAAATAAGTATAAAAATAGACTTACTGATGAAATGTGATATTAGATTTCAGTTTTGTGCGTTTCCTAATATCGTTTTTACAACATCAAACTGCACATTTGACCATTTTGATATGTATTGATGTAGTATGTATGTAGTGATATGTAAAAATCTCTGGAGGAATGCACACTGCTAGCACTCAACCTCGACTACAAGCATTATTCACGGTGGGAACATAGTGTTGTTCTCACCCGTGCCTACTGTTCCTACTTCGTTGTGCGCGCTCTATACTACTGTAATTACTCTTAAGCCTCTATATATCTATATTCTCGCTTGCATACTGCCTCTCTCTGTACTTACACCAGCCGCTCAGTTTTTTTTAAGAGGGATCAAACGAGCATACATCTCACCTTATGATGTGACTACCGCTGCCTATGAAGAACTTCAGCACCAGGGGAATTACGGGTGCATTGCCAGCCTTTTGAAAAAGAGTAGGTTCTTTCTTGAAGGAATTGTATCAAGCATACAGAAAATCGAATTATAACAACAAAATTTCGTGTTTTCTGCAAATTAGGCTCTATAAGCCACTTTTTGTAATCCCATTATTTATCCACACTTATATTTATTTTACATTACATTTCTACATGTTATTACATACATTATTCACATTATTTAACTAATTGTTAGTAATATTTTATGATTTCCACCAGGAACTTGATTCTTGCATCATCATCAAATAGCATGGAAATAGCAACCCTCGGCTCTGCAGATGGTGGTAATTGGCTACAGTGGTGTCAGGTAATATAGCTTACATAATAACTTGCCGGTGACCGGAGGCCCAATCCCCCCCCCCCCCCCCATCAACATGGTAGCGGAATTACGTCATAGACTACCCCAGGAGGGTACCAGCACCCCTGGAGAATCCTTCGCTGAGCATCCACGACCATGCTATTCCACTCCTGAGCGTGGGTGCTCAAGCTGCCCCGCGTATTCTGGGGGTGAGGGGGGGGGGGGGGAGCAAAATTCCGCTCAACACAATAACTGCTCGCGGCAAACTGAGTAACAAGACCAAGGCGACCCCTGCGACGCTATCCGTGAATTTCTGCAACATCAGGGGACTTCACTCGAACCTAAACGCCGTCCACTACCATCTCGAGACGGCGAAGCCGGCCTTGCTCTTTCTGACCGAGACGCAGGTGTCCTCTCCGGTTGATACTTCGTATCTCTCCTACCCGGGGTACAAATTGGAGCACTGGAGCAACCTCGCTGGAGGCACAAAGGAGTGCTGCAATTTGCGCGCGCTGGAGTATGCCGTTTTTTTTTTGTTCTGAGGACATCTGTTCTCGACGCCTCGGCAATCTTGAAGGTTCGGACCTGTCCATCCTTTGGCTACGCGTAGACAGCGACGACCATCCGCGCGTCTACGGGTGCCTCTATAGGTCCCATGGCGGTAATGCCGAAACAGACCGACTCATCGAGCACGTTTAAATGGCTAGAGATTCCTTGCTACAACAGGTCCCATCCGCATTTAAATAAGTTTTTATTTAATTTCTTTCCTACTGTTTTTTTAGTTATGTCCCTTCAACGTACGAAAGAAAAATGTACCTTTGCGTGATATTCACTTATCGTCCTCCACCGCCGATTTCAATCTTATATAATTGAATATTCGAATCTTGCCAATCGACGTGGCGTTGCTAACTGATAAATGCATTGGATGCGTAGCGTTACGCATGCATACGCAAAGCAACACATCAAATGTTAATTTTTTTTTATAGGATGAGGGTGACAAACCAGCACACAGTCCACCTGATGGTAAGTGGTTACTGTGGCCCATAGACATCTACATCTATCTTCGATTAAGAATCAAAATGCAGATGCGTTGTCACCCGTGAGGACTAAGATGGAATGCCTCGTTTCCAGTAAAAAGGGTATCCGGTTCTCTACACTCACCATACGAAACACAGCAGCGTTAAGCAATATTAATATAAATTCTTTAATATAAATAATTTACTTCATGAAAATCAATTTGGTTTCACAAGGGGTCGCTCGACAACTGATGCCGGTGTTGAGATGATTAAATATATCTTTAATCCTCAGAAGACACAAGTTTGCGCGTTTACCGCTAAAAAGAACCCCTTTGTCGTATCTCCTCAGTTTCAAGGCACTCCCCTTCTTGCCTCAGCCAGTATCGGAATCCTCCGAGTCGACATATCGAGTGACGTGCAGTGTCGTGGTCACTTGGAAGAGAAGGCCAAATTGGCCTCTAAAAAGCTTGGCGTGCTCAGCAGAACGGGACAGTATTACATGCCGGCACACCGCCTGTAACTTTACAAGGCGCAGGTTCGGCCTCACATGGAATACTGTTCCCATCTCTGGACAGGGGCTCCCCAGTGGCAGCTCCTTCCACTTGACCGCATCCAGCGCAGAGCGGCTCGAATCGTCGACGACCGAGTCCTTTCCGATCGGCTCGATTCATTGGCACTGCGAAGAGATGTTGCATCCCTTTCCATTTTCTTTCGCATCTACTACGGGGAGTGCTCTGAGGAATTGTTCGGACAAGGGGCAGGTTCGGCCACACATGGAATACTGTTCCCATCTCTGGACAGGGGCTCCCCAGTGGCAGCTCCTTCCATTAGACCGCATCCAGCGCAGAGCGGCTCGAGTCGTCGACGACCGAGTCCTTTCCGATCGGCTCGATTCATTGGCACTGCGAAGAGATGTTGCATCCCTTTGCATTTTCTTTCGCATCTACTACAGGGAGTGCTCTGAGGAATTGTTCGGATTAATCCCAGCCGCCAAATTTTATGAACGCACATCGCGGCAGAACTCCCGATACCATCCACACCATCTGGATGATTGGCGGTCCACCACTATGCGATTTAGAAGATGTTTTCTTCCTTGTGGAATCGATTACCATCAGCGATTTTTCCGGACCGATACGACTTAGGGACCTTCAAGAAAAGAGCGTACTCCTTTTTAAAAGGCCGGCAACGCATCTGCGATTCCCTCCCTGGTGTTGCAGCTGTTCATGGGCGGCGATAGTCACTTACCATCAGGTGAGCCGCATGCTCCTTTGCCCCCTCTGCTATAAAAAAAAGCATTGGAGAATTCACAGGATGCTTTGGGTATTTTTTGTGACCTATCCAAGGCCTTCGATTGTGTTCACCATGAAACATTAATCAGGAAACTTCAACACTACGGTGTAAGAAATAATGCTCTTAAATTAATTATTTCATATTTAAGTAAGAGAACGCAAAAAGTTGTCATTAACAGTATGAGCTTTTCCGGGTCGATGGTACAAATGGGCGTGCCGAAAGGCCCAATTCTCGGCCCCTTTCTGTTTCTTGTATACATTAATGACTTACATAGTAGGGGATAACCATGATATAGTATTATTTGCAGATGACACCTCTTTAATTTTCAAATTAAGTCGACAATTACTAAAATATGATGAAGTAAATAATGCTATATCTAAATTAGTAAATTGGTTCAATGTTAATAATTTGCATTAAAATGGCAATAAAACGAAATGTATGAAATTCATATCTCCAAATGTCAAACAATTAAATACTAATGTAATTTTAAATGGGGAGAAACAGAGTCTTGTAGATACCACCATTTTTCTAGGAATCACACTAGACGCGAAGCTTCAATGGATCCCCCATATATCAAAACTAGCAAGCAGACTTAGTTCTGCAGCATATACCGTAAAAAAGATTAGAAGTCTTACCAGTGTTGAAACAGCTAGACTAGTTTACTTTAGCTATTTCCATAATTCCAGCATAATGTCGTATGGTATTTTACTATGGGGACACGCAGCTAGCACTGAAATTATATTTGTTTTACGGAAGAGGGCCATAAGAGTAATTTATGATTGAAAGCCTAAAGAGTCACTGAGACAAAAATTTAAGGAAATCAATATATTAACTTTGGCCTCTCGATACATTTATGAAAATGTAATGTACGTACACAAAAATAAAAGTAGTTTTATAAAAATAAGTGATATTCATTCTGTAAATACTAGGAACAGACACAAGCTAGTAGTACCAGTTACTCGACTCCATCGAGTCAGTAATTCATTCTTGGGGCGATGTATACGCTTTTACAACAAAATTCCAGAAAATATACAAAATTTGACAGGCTCAAAGTTCAAAAACTTTATTAAACTAAGTTTGTATAAAAAGGGCTATTATAATATTAAGGAATTTATGGATGATATTAACCCCTGGAAATGAGGTGATCGCTACCAAGCTATTTCTAATTTGTTGTGTTGTTAATGTGTGTAACATACATGATTGTAAGCTGTTATTTTAAAAAAAGTCCCGCTGGGTTTCTTGCTAGTTCTTCCCAGGACAGAGGTTTTTTTCCGAACCAGTGGTAATTAAACAAAAGAGTGACTTTCAATAAGTATTATTTATAATCTATATTGAATAAAAAAGTTTCTGTTTCAACAATTTTATTCAATCGTAAACTCTGCTAAACATTCTGGAACAATCGAATAACACCAATTTTTATCAATGGCTATCAAATAGACTAAACGGAGAAATCAGCCAATTCGATTCTTTTTGTAACAATCGCCAATCGCTAGTTTGTATACCAGCCCGGTCCAACATTTATGTAAAAAATATTGTTTGCTTACATTTGTCTTCGTGACTGACACTGCATTGCAGTCTACCTTCTGAGTAGGTTAGATTTTGACCAATGTTTGCAAGTAAAGTAAAGCAAATAATACAAGTGTACGCGCAAACCCATAAGGTTTGCGCGTACACTTGTATTATTACAATTACTTCAGCACAGTTGATAGCTACCGATTATTCGAAAGAGTGAAGAAGCCTTGGATTGAAATCGAGTACACCATCGTCAATATTAATGTCTAAATTTTGGTTTTACTTTCTTATCAGATTGATGAAGCAAGACCTGAACTCCCTTTGACAGATAAAAAACAAGAAAATTATCCTGTAGGAATTTGCATTGATACCTGTGCTATTCATCAGTTACCTTGGGGTGAGTACTGAGAACTCAATAATATACAAGTACATACTGTACAATGATTAATGTATGTTTTAATATTTTTTAAACTTGTATAAAAGGTAGAATTATTGCCTATTATTTTCTTCTACAGGGACATAAATATTTTTTTAGAATCGTGACTAATGAGCACACAGTCCACCTGATGGTAAACGTATGCTGTAGCTGAGAAACACTTTCATTTATTCATAATCATTAGTCAAAATGCTGATGCGTTATCTTATCTGAGAACTAAAATAAAATGCCTCGTTATCTGCAAAAGGGTTATTTGGTTCACTCAAAGTGAAGCACACCAGCATTATGTCGGTTATCTAGTCAAGCAGACCCATTCACCTGCAACCAAAATACGGTTGCAGTATGTCTCTACCATATACAAAACAATCCTAGACTGAACAGAGGTATTTTCCGAACAAGTGGTAAATAAAAAAATGACTTTCAATAAATATTATGTAATAATCATGAATAAAAATTATTCTTTTCTATTCATTATAAACATCGTGTTAAATCTAAATAGCGATTATTCTAATCTGTCAATATTTTTCTTTTTATTATGCATGCTATCATTTTTCTGTAGACTTCCTAAAAGGAGACGGTGCTCAATTATACTGCATTTTTTTTATGTGTGTTACCTCATAACTTTTTACTAGGTGAACCGATTTCGATGATCCTTTTTTCATATGAAAGCTGTTACATCTCGTGTGGTCCCATATGAATTTGATAGACCAATAGTTTTTGAGTTATTCTTAATAACTTATATTGAAGTCGGCTGTACAAAATTTTAAAATTTAAATTATTTTTATAGGATCGGGTGACAAACGAGCACACAGTTCACCTGATGGTAAGTGGTTGCTGTGGCCCATAGACATCTACATCTACCCTTGTTTGCGAATCAAAATGTAGATGCGTTGTCACCCGTGAGTACTAAGATGGAATGCCTCTTTTCCATTAAAAATGGTCTCACCGTACGAAGCACAGTAGCATTAAGCTGCTATTTTATGCTGGTATTCTGTGAGAGCGTGGTCCTTACCCGGTCGAGCCGACCCATTCGTGCTACAACTAGACTACCAATATAGCTTCAGCATGGCTCTACCACGTATAACATGGCTCAACCACGTATAAGTGGTTTACTTTAAATTCAGAAAATAGCCAACCCAGCCCAAACTACGCGGCGACGCGATTGCACAGTTAACATAAATTAGCAACAGAGAAAGGACTGTCATGCGTAGCTACAGACTTATGGCACGCAACCAATTAAATTTATTCACAAATAATACAACGTGTATGGGCGGTGTAAAAAAGCGACAGAGGGAAACAAAATCAGGATATGGGCAGCAGCGTCTTCCTATTAATCGCTTTCCTACCGTGGCAACTATGGCAGTTATCCCCTTTATGAGGCAATCTATGGGGGAGGCCTAAGTAACGACGACGGTAACGGTATCAGCAACTCTAATAATTAAATAAAATACGAACGTAATGGACATTATTTCGCTCGAGAACATCCCGTAAGAACCGCAAGACGTAATAAACTTAGTTGTGATATACGTTTCCCATCATGTACAATATATGTAAATTAAATTGTTTTTTAATTATTTTTTTTTCAATTATTACAATGTAAATTATCATTCAGTAACTTATATTCATAGGTGAAAATTCGACATTGCCTCCAATGCCACTTCTCCATGTTCTGTCTCAAACGGGCCTGCTGTCAATTTTTAATGTGATTAACTTGAAGAATGAAGCTACCACTCCATGTACACCACCTCAACAATTAACATTACCTGCTTCTATGATGACAAGGTAAGCAGGTATCATATCAATTGTCTTTATAATTCGTAGCACTGGTAATACATCTTTCCAAGAATGTACTAGCTGGCAAGGACTGACCACACACTGAGCATGCGGGATGCCGAATGTCGATATACTCGCGATAATATTGATGCTCCAAATGCTCATTTCCACTTTGTGAAATTTAGTATAAACTTTTTTGGGTTGGTGTTTCTGTGGCGGCGCTGTCGTCGCCCCACAAGTGAAAATACATCTAAGCCTAAATCGCGCTATTAAAGTTCCGAAGTAAAAATAGTATATTATATAGAATAGTTCCGAACTACCATTCGGAGCGTTGGTCGCTCTCCGGGCAGAACATTGCTCGGCTGGAGATCTCCACTTTTCCTTCCACCAGCCACAGTGGTAGTGGTGACCCCGACGTGATGTGAACACGCAACGTGCAACATTCAGAAACTACAACTTCAAAACGTCGTCACCGTCCTCAAGTACCCGATTCATTCGCTCCCGTGAAGATAGTGTCTGCAGTCTTCACATTCTGCAACTCATCTAGCTTTACAAAGGTTCGTTGCAGCACTACAATAATGCTTTCTGTTCCTTCAAGCTTCTCTCTGCTAGTGTTCGGCACGGCTCTGAGCCTTAAGCTTCTTCTTCACGGCACTCTCGCAGATAACTTGCCTTCTTCTCGACTCACCGCAAACTACTAGGCAATTCCCTGACACTTGCACATTCGTTGACATCTAGACTGCAATATCGACCTTCGATCTGAGCAGGGGCGTGATGTGTCGGCGCTGTCATCGCGCCACAAGCGAAAATACATCGAAGCCTAAATCGCGCTATCAAAGTTCCGAAGTAAAAGTAGTGTATTTAGAATAGTTCCTAACTTCTACTTAGAGCGTTGGCCTCTCCTCAGGCTGAATACCTTGCCCGGCGGGAGATCTCCCCTTTTCCTTCCACCGGCCGCTAGCGGTGTGTCGTTATGTGTTTTCTAAATAACTTAACGTTATAGTTATGGTACAACGGATAACGGTATCATAACTGTCTATTTTCCATATAACGGCAACTTAACAATATACCGTCATAGAACAGTTATCAAAATTATTTTCGTTTCGTGATATAAACAGTTAAGATTTAAATATTAATTTTTGACATCTTTCTAGGAATTAAGGCATATCCATTTTTACTTGCTCCGTGCAATTGTAGATTCTATACGACCTCAGCTACGAATACTATAAAAATAATAGGAAAAAAGATAGGGTATGGGATGTTTTATCAAGAATCGGACAAAATATGTTTTCGTATATTTTGTTCGATTCTTGATAAAACTTCGTTATAGCATTCTTCTGGCATACAAAAATATTTATAAAATGTTTTTTTATCTTTTCGTAATGTGGGTATCAAAGTGTGAAACTCTGCAACTTCTATGCGTTGAGTACTCAGCTCATGAACCCATTTTCTTTTCTTCCTCACATCTTGAGATTCTTCTTCAGTTAATGCTAATAAAATTTCATTATTAATAAAAATTCAATATCAAAAGACATGTTTTCCTATTGAGAAACCAAAACTAATGACGTGCAAGATTCGCCTCAATTTGGGAGGTTAAGCGAGCGAGCGAATCGGGCAGATTCGCGTCCCGCGCGGAATTTGCAGTTTGACCGAAGCTTTACTCTACTATATGCGCGATTCTGATCGCAGATGGCCGGCGCAGTGAAATATATGGTACTTTTATATAATTAATTTAAACATAATAATAACGATTTAAAACCTAAAAATAATAGTACAGCTTAAGCAAATGTTGATGATTGTTTTGGTATAAATTTTACATCAAATAGATGTAGAACTTCAAAGATATTGAGGCCTGTATTGTAGCTTTTTCGGTCGTTAATTGAATTATGTCTATTTTTTTTTCCTAGCGTGAAAGGCATGTAACGAAAATGTATTCTATATATGTGTAGGATATTTGAGAGATAAAAATATTTTTGTTTGATGGTCGATATTCAATAGAATCTACAAATTAGAGCTCCCAAATCATATCTTCGAGAGGTTTTGCCTAAATATGCATCTGGAGAATGATTATTACTTAATAAATAAATAAGTTATCTAAAATTCGCTTTGAGCTTATTGTAATAGAGAAAACGAACTACTTTTACAACGTAATTGTTATTTCAAGCTACGAACGACAAACATACAATTACAATGAGGAAACCTTGTAATTTCGCGTTTTTTTTTTGTAATATTCCTATTAATAAGCAAAACGCTAAAATAAAAAGTGGACTGCAAAATGAAATATAGGCATTAATATCCAGGTGGTGTTTAGTCCGTACAAACCCTGAATAGTTATGACTGTAGAACAAATTTATCTACTTATATATTATACATACTTTTTCATGAACGTATTATTTTAGAATCTAGGAACTTTCCTAAATTATTAAAATTGATGTGCAGTACTTTTGGGGACTCCAATGCTCTCTTCAATTCTTTGGATTGAGATATTTTGGTCTTCTTCATCTGCTTGCAAGACGTCTTCTCTCGCTAACCATTTGACTAGGAAATCGACCCTCTGAGAATGACTGATGCACATTAATAAATACTCCATGATCGGGATGACGCTCAGCATTCGGATATCTCAGGGCCAACAACATACACTTAAAAAAGGCTATGAAGCTTTCGTTGTTTGAAGTAGGCTTAGGTAAAAAATATCGATGTATCGAAATATCGACATTTTCTCACAAAAATATCGTTATATATCGTCTATAAATATTTAAGCACGATATATCGATATACGATATTTATTTTAGAGTTTCGAATTCGTATCAATTTCGATTTATTTTAAAAGGTATTAGTCGACGTAACATTAAGCAACGAAAGCAGCTACAGCATTCAAATGCTGTTGTTGTTTTTTTTTCCGTCGTCCAAACGTCCAGTAATAAAATGTTGGGCCTTATCCGACTAAATCATGCAAAACGTGTCGATATATCGATATTTATCACGCGATATATATCGATACTGTTTAAAAATATTGATACGAGTTATGTCTATATTTTTTCACTTGCCCATCCCTAGTTTGAAGTTGATTGCAGGTGTCGATGAATTGTAGTAGCCACTTACGATCAGGTGGACAGTAAGTTCCTTTGTCATTTCATTTCACATCCACAAAAATATGATTTTAGCAATATTCCTGATGATGTCATACCGCAAGCTGCTGCCCCTGCAGCTCCAGCTGCTCCTGCTGCTCCTGCTGTTTCAACTCCTGTTAGCCAGACTGTAGTATGTATATAGTTAAGTTATTTAATTATCTTAGTTACTTCGTTATTTAATTATATGACTATTAATATTATAATATTGTGTAATTTTGTATTAAAATTGACTACCAGCTCACTGTCCATTTGATGGTAAAAGGATAGTTTTCCTGCAGGTAAACACAGTATGCTGATAGACACTATCGGTATTTTCGGTATTTTATTTATTGTGGTAGAGCCATGCTGCAGCTATATCAGTAGTATAGTTGTAGCATGAATGGGTCGACTCGACCGGGGAAGGACCACGCTGTCACAGAATACCAGCGTAAAATAGCAGCTTAACACTGCTGTGTTTCGTATGGTGAGTGTAGAGAACCGGAGACCCTTTTTACTGGAAAAGAGGCATTCCATCTTAGTCCTCACGGGTGACAACGCATCTGAATTTTGATTCGTAAACGAGGATAAATGTAAATGTCTATGGGCAACAGCAACCACTTACCATCAGGAACTGTGTGCTCGTTTGTCATCCTATCCTATAAAAAAATTATTTTCATATGCAGTAAAGAGATATGGTTGTAGCACGGATAGGTCGTCTCAACCGGGGAAGGACGAAGCTCTCGCAGCATATGAGCGTAAAATAGCAGCTCAATGTTGCAGTGTTTCGTGTGATGAGTGACACTACAACAGACGACCTTCTTTTACAACCAGAGAACCTTTTTACTGGATAAAAGGTATTCCATCTTAGTCCTCGGGGGTGACAATGCATCTGCATTTTGATTCTTAATCGAGGGTAGATATAGATATCTGTATTTGAAATCACCACATCTGATGTAGGTAGGCCACAGTATCCACTTACTATCAGGTGCGGTGTGTACCACCATTTTATAAAAAAAAATTGAATTTAAATACAAACACAAGGTATTTATTTCCATACATAATTAGCATCCAATTATTATTTCATATTAATTATGGTAAGCCTTATTTTTTGTGTTTGAAGTTTTTATCCTTATTCTTTTATCCCCATCTAAGGTAAGTAACTTATTAACGTAAAAATAAAGTCTATATAAAAAGTAATAGTCCATTATTATCTTGAATAATTTTTCTGTTTTATAATTGGAGAACTATACATAAAATACATTTAAATTCCCCTCTGCCCCACTTTTTAACTGTCCTCGTATTAATTGTATGTTTTTATGATATATTTTATTCTTTATTATTTTTTTTATTAACTTAAAAATTCCTTATTCAAATAATTTTGATTTATTTCAGCCACAACATGCACCATCACAATTTATTCCAGCACAGCCACAACTTAAGCCACAATCAATACCAGCCCCAACTAACCAGTTCAATCAGCCATTCGCTAATTCAAACATGCAAACATTTGGTATACAACAGGGACTTTTCTCTGGTAAGTTTAAGTCATAAAATTATGTTGAGTTCTATTTTGTAGTAGTTTAAGACAGTAATAAATTAACGAACCAATTTAAAATATTTTAATTTTTTTTTAATGACGAGGAGACATACGAGCATACTACTCACCTGATGGTAAGCGATCACCGTCACTCATGATCATTTTTTCTTTGTATCCCTAAGTTGTACCGGCCCGGAAAAACCGCTGGCGACAGTAAATTCCACACTGTGGTGTGCGAGGTAGAAAATTCCGCGTAAATCGCACGGTAGTGGACTCTTGCAAGGCCAGTTGACCAAGCCAAACGAAAGGACTTGATCGTCAACTATTTGGGCCGCTCTTGGTAGAATGCTGTCAAGTGGAAGGAACTGATACTGGGGTGCCCCGGCCCAGAAATGAGAACTTAATCCATAACCTGGAGATTGTGCGATGAAAAAGTGACAGACGCATAAGAAACTCATTCTTTAATAGTAGCTTACTATGATTTTTATACGTGGTAGAGCCATGCTGCAGCTATAATAGTAGTATAGTTGTAGCATAAATGGGTCGGCTCGCCCGGGGGAGGACCACGCTCTCACATAATAGCAGCTTAACACTGCTGTTTTTCGTATGGTGAGTGGCGACGAGGCATTCAGTCTTAGTTCTCACGGGTGACAACGAATCTGCATTTTGATTCTTTATTGAGGATAGATGTAAATGTCTATGGGCCACAGCAAACACTTACCATCAGGTGGACTCTGTGCTCGTTTGTCACTCTATCCTATAAAAAAAAATTACATTATTTTTCCATTTCTTTATTTCGATGACATGTGAAGTCCATAAGCCTTCCTAGCTCCAATCTTTCTCAGAAACGAGTTGAGGTCTGTGGCCTGCTGTGGGACATAAGTCATTTACGAGGGCGGCACTGAAAATTTCGGGAATCAAGGAAGTGACACAACATTACTATTTAAAAATGTATTTATTGTTTTTTGAAGTATTCTCCGCGAAATTTGACACATTTTTCCATACGATGGAACCAATCATTGAAGCAACCATTCCATTCGGAAGTTGGGGTCTCCAAAATGGCCGTTTTGTAGGCGTCCACAGCTTCTTCAGGTGATGAAAATTCTCTGTCCACGCAATTTATTCTTTATTTTAGGGAAAGTATAGAAATCATTAGGGCTTAGGTCAGGGCTATACGGCGGATGGTCTAATAATTCTATGTTTTCTTGCTCTAAAAACTTTTTTCTTTGTGCGGTGTGAGAACTCGCATTGTCGTGATGGAGGATGATGCGGCGGTTGCAGTTCTCTTTACGGAGTTCAGAAACGACCTGTGGCAAACATATGCTAGCATACCATTCTGCATTAACCGTTCTTTGTCCTTCAAGAGGAATAGTCGTAACATGGCCCGTTTTGGAGACAAACGTGGCCACCATTTTTTTTGCAACACTCCGTGAACGAACAATTTTTGTTGGCTTTAACTCATTTTCGAACACCCAAACTCGTAACTGGTTTTTTGTTTCGGGTTCGTACGCGTATATCCAGGATTCGTCACCTGATACGATGTTGTATACAGCATTTAAGGATCCTGCGTGGAATCTTTCGAGAGTTCTGACGCACCAAGTAACGCGAGCCGCTTTTTGCTCTTCACAGAGCGAATGCGGTATCCATCGGGAAAACAACTTTTTTACTCCTAATTGTAAAAGTTGCCTGAATTTTGCGAGATGTCACATGTCGATCTTCCTCAATCAGCTTACGCACAGCATCAACGTTTTCTTGGATGACTGCAGTTTTTGGACGACCTTGACGGGGATCATCACTGAGTTTGACACGTCCACGTTGAAATTCAGCAAACCAGCGATAAATTGTGGTTTTGGATGGGGCTTCATCACCAAATGCAGAAATCATCCGGTCAACACACTGTTTTTGTGTTAAACCACTTCGAAAGTCATAATAAATCATCGCTCTTGAATATTCTCGAGTCAATTCCATTTTCTCAAGGACTAAACAAGTTTGACAAAACCTTGTGACAAGACCGAGAATCTTTTTTTTTTTTAAATAAATAAATGGTATTCGATTTTTAAAATCAAGGACTTTTCAATTAAAACTAAATTAATATGACAGGAATAGTGGAAATATTCCATTCCCGATACTTTTAGTGCAGCCCTCGTAATGGCATGATCAACTTAAAGGATTAACCCATATTCACCACGCTGAACTGGCGGGTTGGTGAGGCCTGGACTGAAACTTTCGCGCTATTAATGCTGCTCCCCAATACCACTACAGAATTTTGATTCGGCGTTTCGAAAGGAATTACCGCCATATTTAAATTATTTTTCTCTAAAAATTAAAAAAAAACTATTTTTAACATTATTTTACATTGTTTTAGCTCCAACAAATTCACAAATTGCAGAAACCAAGCAAATTGAAGCCAAACCACAAATTTCTGTTGTTCAAAACACTGCTACTTTGGTAACTTCTTTATTTATTTAAAATTAATTAGATTAAGTAATAGGTATAATTGTTTATATACTCTATAGAAAATTATATTTGGATCATCCGAATGCATTATATTTGGATTATCATTATAATTATTATTAGAGTCCTTTACAAGTCCACTGCTGAACAAAGACGCCACAAAACCCGGTTCCGGGTCCACCTGCATCCAACGACTTCCTTTCATATCTTACCAGGTCGTCACTCTGTCTAGTGGGGTAACAGCCCTACACTTCGCTTACAGGGATAAGGGTGCCACTCAAGAATTGTTCATGCCCACCGGTTCAAAACTAATGTTATTGCACCATCTCTTTCCCTATCAGAATATTACTGTTTCTCATTAAAAATATTTTTTACGATATTAATTGCTCTTTTAATAGCTTGCTGTTAGTGCTCATGGACATAGAGGCCTTCTCCATCGAAAAATTTCTAAGTTTTATAGTTTTTTATTATATTAATATTAAAAAAAATACTTGAAAATGAAATTATGATTTAAAATGATATTGTCATATGGAAAACCACGTTTTACTTAAATACATTCTTTGAAAAATATACATGGGACAAAATCAAGAACCTCGCTGTATACATATATTTAAGCTAATAATAACTTAATGAACAGGCAACGCCTAAACCAGTTGCAAAAGTTGAAGCTCCAAAAGCCCAATCTCCTATACAAACCCAAGAAATGAACGCAGCGTTAAAGAGTGAACAGGAAAGAATGAACAAAATGAAGGTCAATGAGGAGTTGAAAAATATGCTCATAAAAGAAGTTAACGACTTTCAAATGGAACTGTACAAGTTTGTGTCGAAAACAAGGGACACCCATATTAAGGTAATTCATTATAGAATAGAATAATTTTAATAAACTCCAATAATTTTAATTAAACCTCCATTAAAAAGTAATTTGAAATTTTCTCTTAATTTAAAACAATGAAAACACATGATATCATAAAGCTTATGTTTATTCCCATCGACGCAGGGCCAACGTTTTTCAATGCTCACTTTGAAACTTTTTAAACGAAAAATGCATTTGCAAAGCCCGAAAAGAAGCCAACAAGTGGGGCCTAGACGGTTGGGTATGCCTCGACTCGTCGTTAGGGTCGTTGCGTTTAAAGTCCACGCACTCTTATGTTGGCCGAGCTAAAGTTAGTAGCGAGCAGGGGGATGAAACTGCCATACAAATTTACGATAATAAAAAATGCATTGAAAGTTCTGCCCTCTAGTGAACTAGGTACATAAACTTGTAGGCTAGTTTTGTTCAGCGTTGTATAGATGGCGTTAATTAGGCCAAAACCCCAGAATCCAAAGCCCAAAAAAACTGAAATCTATGTCAGTTTTGGTCTATGGTTATGGTTGACAGTTCTTTCTAATAAATACGAATATTATTGATACGATAATTCAGAAAACGAAAATATTTTGCATCTTTTTGTTACTCTCCTGTAAAAATCATAATTTAGGCTTTATGATTATTTACTAAATTTAACAATAAATGTGGTTGATCTCAGTTTATGCACCAATGTTAACAGGCTGCTAAACGGAAAATTATTAACTACTGATTTGTGATTGTGAAAATGATAATGTCAAAACTCAGGCTATTAAATATTATAACATTTATAAAAGAAAATAAAAACGTAATTAAAATTCTATTCAGTCTTTGATATTAATATTATAATAAAACATGTGAAATAGGTTAAGTTTTATTAGTGTTAATGTTTTCTGCAAAATTACCATTTGGAGATTTAAGATAATTATTGGAGATATCCAATAATTATCTGGTAGAATGCATAAACAGAAACATTGTTAATAAAAATGCAAAGTTCATAATTACCAATATAGTAATTGACAAAATACGCCATCTAGTGGTAACCATGTGGTAACTACCGCAAGCCGCGTTTTACTAAAGAATACAGCGGCATCTAGCGTACACGGTACACTCATTCTAAAACTGAAATGAGTATATAGTGTATTATCTATGGTCGCGAGTGGCTGCGCAAAACAAAATGATGAAAAGAGAGCAATGATATATCTTTATATATAAAAATTACGTGTCACATTGTTTGTCCGCGATGACTCCTAAATTACTGAACTGTAATATATATATATATATATATATATATATATATATATATATATTGGTGCAGTGATTATGATCATGTGCATTAAAGATTTTATTAAAATTTAAAATTATGTTATTTTGCGGCTACTGAAAGAATTTTCGTCATAGGAGGAGATATTTTCATTACAATAATAACTTACAATTTATTCTATAATCGATAGAGACAAAACAAATTGTTGCCTTAAGTAAACCTAGGAGCAAATATGAAGTGGCACGTCTCTATGGAATTGTGAAAAGTGTTTGTTACGGCCTACGGCTGCTCCCTTAAAGGATCCAATCCTCAGGGGCCCATGAGCTGAAGATTTCCCGAACAGACGTAGGTCGGGCCCCAATGTGGCCACGTGGAAATTCCTAATTACATTAAAATATATGGGGGAGCGTTATACTACGGCCAGTCGACCGGAAGGAATTTGGATGAAGCTTACTTACCTATCCAAGGCGACTGGTCCCTCCGGAGTCGGTCAGGTCGCATGTGGTTGTGTAGTGCAAGGGAAAGAATGGTGATGTGGTGTGTATCTGGGTGTGACTGATGGTGATTGAACCTAGACCTTGGCCGTCGGCAGCAGCCCGAGCGTCGACACCGCTCCAACTTGAGGGCGCCTTTCGAGGTTGTCCACAGTCACTTTCTTCTTTCGTCACGTTGACAGTCAATTAACTCTATCGTACGATTTACTAACTTACAGAAGGCACTAACTATCGCTGGGTATAATGGTTACCGCACAAACGCACACGGAGTTTAAAGGGTCAAAGGTCACTACCGTTTCGCGTAGCAATAGTTAATTCTAGAATATCAGAGGCCGCACTATCTAATATTGCCGAATGCACTTATGCAGGTTCTGAGTCAGACACAATAAGTCCCGGGAAGCTCTCCAGTAGGAATGCGCGTCACAATGATAGACCGTATATTTACTGGCCGCGCCGAATTATTCCGAGTTCCCTAACAGAATACAGCGTGCCAATCGTTAGCACCGTAGGTTAGCGTGTAGGGAGGTGCCAGAGGGAAATGAAACAGGACATGGGCAGCAGTCTCTTCTTAATAACTATAAAATAAAAAAAAACTGCGGCTAGCCCGCCTGCCAAGTCTGGCAACTATTTCAAATATTCCTCATACAAGGCTCATGGAGGTTGAAAGAAAAGTAAAGTTAAAACTTTTGACAAGTTATTTCATGTTATTTTATATTGGTCATTAAAATTTTGAATTTTACAATTCTCAATAAAATCTCACACAGGAAGACTGGCAAAAAATAAAAAAAATATTGATTTTGTATTTTAAGTTTTTTGCAATTTGTAATCATTATGTATGTAATTTTAGTAACAATGTTATTTCGGTTAACTCGTATGAAGGCAAAAACGCACGAATTTGCATGGCTAAAACTTATTAACATAGAACATAGAAAACACACAATGTTATAATTTGTAATAAATCACATTTAACTTTTATTTTAGTTACAACAAGATATAGATTCTATTGGCTCGGATTTTAATGTTCAATCGCAAGACATTGAAAGGTTAAAAAAAGACTACTGCATAGAGGAGTTGCGTGAATCCATAGTTCAGTTGAAACTGGAACTGGTCCGCGCTTGCGCTGTTGTTGCCGAGGCACGAACACATGCTGAGTAAGTTGAAGTTTGTTAAGTATTCTTATTCTCATAATAGCTGTTCCCCGCGACTTCGCCCGCGTGGAATTTATTACGATTGGATTTTGTGGGTTTTAATATTTTTGCGCGGAACCCTAATTCTTTTTCTAAAATAAAAGAAGCCTAAGTTACTGCTTATAACATTAGCTGTCTTCCAGTGAAAGTCCCGTTAAAATCGGCCCAGACGTTTCGGAGATTAGCCGAAACAAACAGACAGACAGACAAAATTAAAAAAAAAATTGTATTCTTGTTATAAATAACACACACACAGATTGAGTAATTAATAGACCAAAATATATCTAGGGTGCTATATTTTAACTTGTGTCTTGAAATTGGAGTATTTTCCATAACTTTTAGCTTCTTTTCATTTTCAACTATATCAAATTAGTTATTTAAGGCTTTAACTAGCCTGAATGACCTTGACGAAACGGCGATCGCAGAGATTTTAGTCAACACCGTCTAGCAACTACGTTCTGTATTACTTATAAAAGTGAAAAATATATTACTTATAAAAGTGCAAAGATTAATAGACTGCAGAGATGACAATTATATAAGTGGCATACTGCCTGTTATGCTTGCGCATCACTGAGAATTATGTCGCGGTTACGCATCTTCAATTACATTGCACGGTGCTGTAGCTTTGTGCGGTAGGCATCACGAGCTATCAAGTGTTCAAGTTTCAAGTACGTAAGAATTTTTATTATATATGTTAAACGTATTTATTTGTGTCGTATTAAAAATATGTCGTCAAAGCGTTCGCTGTAAATTTTCCCGGGTTTGATCACCGACATCACGAATGAAATTTGTAATTGCAATTTTCGTCTACACGCATTGGGGAAGCACGGCGGGCATTTCGTTGCCCTAAAACCCTCTCAGAAATAAAAAAAGAGTCCTGTGCCCAGTAGAGGGACTTGTATAGCCTATTACTTTACTTTGTAGCAATATTTATATTCGTTTCAGATATAGAAGGGTACCTTATGCTGACAAAAATATCATGTGGAGGCGACTAAAACGTAAAACATCTTTGTACCTAGATAAAACGTTCGAAAGATTGTCAGTCATGTCATGACCGTAGAACATTGCAGATAGGGCAAAATAAAAAAAATCCAATATATTATGGGAACTATTTATTAATAATATATACATTTATAGGTATTTATAATAAAAATAATGAACAAGCTGCAAGGTTCAACTAATAATGTTTTTGTAAACACAATCGTAAAATTCTTGTTTTAATTTTTACCAATGGTTAATTGATGAAACGTAGTCAAGATCACTTCAAATAAAATATATTTAATTAAAATTGACACGTGACCTATTTGGCCTTCTACTTACAACTCGGCGGAAATTTGAAAAGAAGATTTTGTCTTTTCACACAAGTATTGTTCACAACTGGCGTGGTTTCGAAAAGCGTGATTAAGTGTCAGCGGTATATAATCAATTAAATACTGAACTTTTTTGAAATTTATTTTTTTGTTTATTTTAGTTATATCTTCTTAAAAACTGACGCCATCGCACTATTTTATTATTTGTTTTTTTGTAACGCATAAGGATAAGTTAGACTAAGTTAGATTAACTTGGATAAGTTTATATTTTTTTTTAATTTTATCACAAAATTTCCGCAATAAATTATTACCTTTTCTACAGTGACTCTCTCCTCTTAGTTTAGGCGTGACTGTAGGATGTTATAGTGAGTCACCGTCAGTTACTAAGCGGCCATAAATCATTATATGTATGTATAGACAAACATATATACATTTTATGATTTTAATATTTGTTTTTTGAAAATTGATTGATTTTTTGAAACCTGGTAAAATAATTTTTTCCATACCAATTGATGGGCCTGAGTTTAATTCCAGTTATGCTCTTTGGCTGAAGTTATTTTTTATTTTATGCTCAATTGCAGACAAAACAATATTGATTGCGCATTGCTAAAACAAAATTTTACCTCTTCTCCTTCTAATAATAGCTCCTGCACCTAACACGGCGGAATAGTTATTATTATCTATAAGACCATTTGCAGAAACAGTTTTTGTTAACAGTTATGAGTGTAACATTTTATCAGCTGCTTTGTTTATAGTGCCTTGAGCAACACTTTGCCGGTTTCTGTACAGAAAATGATGCTGGCTTTGCAAATATGGATGGCCGCTACCATTGAATATAATACCCGCTATGTTACACTTATTTACATAGAAACTTTAATTATCATTTGCATAAAATTCTAAATAGCACTTTTTACACAAGAAAGTAAACTTTTAAATCAGTCCATTTTGTTTTTCACTAATTAAGTAAAAAGTAAAACAAAACAATAGGGCCGTGAATTATAATTTCTTGCAACTTTTTATAGAAAAGCATGACCTTATCATAATATAAAAGTCAATCATTTAGTTTTATTTATTTACTCTTTATTGTACACCAAAAACAAAACAAAAACGAATACAATTAAATCTAAATTAGAAAATGTACAACAGGCGGTCTTATCACTCTGAAAGTGATTTCTTCCAGACAACCTTAGTGTAGAGAACTGATGTAAACAATAGTTAAAAATAAAGGGGGCGTACAAAATAAAAAAAAAATATAAAATACATACAAATAAAGGCAAGTGAAGATTATGTATGATATAATATAATAGATTAGCCATGTGATAAAACTTTTAAGTGTGCCAGTCAAACATTAATGATGATATTCGGGTCATTATACTGGAAATAGTCTTTTAAATATTTTGTAGTACAATTGATAATCTTCAGTATGATTGACCGTGTATATGACTTTTATAAGTCTATGTTATTTTTGATGAAAATTATTATTGCAGATAAAATCCCTTTCACATTTATTTTAATCTCGAATTAAATTAATCAAAATGAAAATAATAACATTGGCTCTTTATAACTGATCTTTAAATGTAAAACACTGACTTGTAATTATATATATTTTTTTTAATTCATTGAAATTTTTTAAGATTTTGTTGAAACTCTACTGGTAAAAAAAAAAACAAATATATATATTATAGTTCTTGATGAAAATAATGTATGGGCGTTACATCGCATCCCATCAAGAATTTCTAATGTAATTCTTGGTGTAAAGCTAAGACGTGATAATAACTGTAAACAATAGAATAACAAAATAATGAAAACATTTACATTTACATACAAAACATTTACAAAAATACTTGCTTTATAACCTAATAAATATTATTTGACCGTAATCAAATAAAACAAAGTAGTCTTGGGCATGAAAGTAAAAATAAATATTTTTGATTATTTTTGCAATATCTAACAGCCGGATCAGCGGGCGATTCTGATCCATCTAAAGATGCTAAATTTCAGCAAGCACTGTCAAATTCAATAGGAGTGACAGAAAAACGGTTCTTGATATAGAAAGGTAAATAAATTATTTAACCTATAAAGTAAAATCACTTTATTACAACCCAATAGCTTTATCAACATGAGACATAATTGTACGAGTGCTTACAATACTTAACATTAATTTACTGAAATCTCAGAAAGTTTTTTTTTAAATAGAATAAGGGTGACAAACGAGCACACAGTCCACCTGATGGTAAGTGGTTGCTACGGCCCATACACATCTACATCTATTCTCGATTACGTATCAAAATGTAGATGCGTTGTCACCAGTGAGGACTAAGATGTAATGCCTCGTTTCCAGTAAAAAGGTTCTTCGGTTCTCTACACTCACCGTACGAAACACAGCAGGGTTAAACTGCTATTTTACGTGTTATTCCGTGAGAGCGTGGCCCTTCCCCGGTCGAGCCGACCCATTCGTGCTACAACTATACCTACTACTAATATAGATGCAGCATGGCTCTACTACGTAAAAAAAAATTGACGTTGAAAATTTAAGTATTTTTAGAAGCAACTTTTCAATTATTTTCTATTGAGTTAATTTTTGTGGAATCGTGTTTTGCAAACCGCCACCTGAAATACGTACAATTTTTTTTCGATAATGACGTGAAATTACAAAACGATCCCCATGCATTTCAATGTTAGAGCCACATTCAGCCTCTTAATATGAACATACCTCGAGATTCAGAGATTTTAAAAGTTTTCATGCGTAAATAATGGAAGATATAATATTATATTATTACTGTCCCGTGTGAGGCAACCTTTATACTTATATACATATTCTCATCATATTTTTATGGTTGGTTAGAAAAATTATATCTAAATGCAAACTTTCACAGGGTAAATTTTTTTTACTATTTTTACCCAGCAAGTAGTAAGGCAACTACAATCCCATCGGTAAGTGGTTATGCAGTCTAAGATGGTGAATTGCATTGACTTAACAAAAACCTATTCACTCTTGTCTTATAGTACTAGGTATTATTTGCGACCTATTTGTGTGTATGTGTGTGTGTGTGTGTGTGTATGTGTGAAGAAAAGTGTATGAAAATACGTGAAGAGAGGAATAAAGGTTGAGTACTAATTCGCTTACCTGTACGAGGTTGCCACTCGAGGACCTTTCTTCCTATTTTTTATTTGTTTTCCAAGTTATATAGCTAGCCCATTGCCATTTCACTGTAATATTCCGTTGAGCTATGTCAGTTACTCTGGTTCTAATGCAAATATCTTCATTTCTAACTTTATCACGTAGAGAAACCCCTCTTCAATTTAAAATTTTTACATTTTTTAGATGATAGTTTGTCTAACATAAAAAAAAAACCATAAACCCAAGAATGTCTTTATATGGTTATTTATACTTAGGTAAGCACCATTCTTTTATTTATTTAAATTGTTTGATTTAATTTGATAACAGTGTACCTAAATGTAAGTATCTGAATCTTTATTTCTCTCCCCAATAATATTTTATATAGTCATACTCATAAAAACAGCGTTTTATTGTAATACATAATTATAAAATTCATTATCAACTAATTAATAAAAATATGCAACAATAAAATTACATAGGTATTAAAAACTATCGAAATCTAAGTAACGAGAGCATGTTCGTCGTTCCACATATAAATTATATAAAAATGCATTTTTCAATTTTACTAATCAACGTCGCTGCGAAAATTTCTTCTTCTTTGGGCACTTTAAAAATTCATTTATTTAGAAAATAATATTTACAGTTACCAGTGTACAGATATTAACTAAATTAAGTATTTCTAGTCATAAAAATATTTATAATTGAGTATAAACTTTTAAAAAACTACTCCAACACCGACGTGCGGTCCACCCTCGGCGATGTCCGAAAACGGACTGTGACAGAGCTTACATGGCGACGCAGCATGCGCGATCGCGTAAATATATTCAATTTCAGGGAAAAATTATATATTCTCTTATAAAACGGGTGATAAAAAAAACTCTCAATTAAAAATATTAATATTTTTAAGACCTTTTTTTTAGTGTAAGAACTATTTAAAAAGCTTGTGCCGTTTTGGAGAAATTTGGCAAAATATGACAAAGATATGTACTCTTTGGGGATTTTTTTTCTAATAAGGGGTTGACAAAAATACAATTTTGTTAAATTAAAAACATTTACCAAATCTTCTTCTGTTACCTTGTATTTTTTCTTTGTGGATTAAATGAACAGTTATTGAGATTTTTTTACTTAAATATCCTAGATTTAGGCATTTCAACCACTGTTAAGGCCTTAATAAATGATTCATTATTTTCCTACAGAAATAAACATTTGCATCAATGGAGTCAAGCAGATCCTTTAACAACAAAACGAGTGGCATCTGTGAAGAAATTAGCTTATTATATACAGAACCAGCTGGATCAAGCGCATAAAGCACTCGACCACAAGTGGAATGAAATTTCGACAAGGAATCTTAATGAAAAGTTTGTAATTTTGAAAATATGCTTTTAAACTTTGTCTAATTTAGTTTTAAGAGGTGACACACCTGTAACCTTTTTGTCTGGATTGTTTTTGTTGCACGTTGATTTTCGAAATTCCACTCATCGCGGTTCGCGCCTTTTGACTCTTACCATCGTCTGTAAAGTAGAAGGCTCGGTAAATGGATAAAATACTACAGATACAATATAGATACAAACTCTTGGATGCGGAACGTAAGTTGCATTTTGATTTAATACGCGCGCCGCAACAAACGGTAGGCTATTTTAACGAAAGTCGCATCCGAGGCTTGCAAGGTATTATAAAAATTAGGGACGATATAACTAGGTTTAAACTTGCAAGTTTGCTATCAGAGTGATTCTTCTGTACTTGTGCTATTATCTATTCTGTGCATCGGGTTAACTGGTAACTTATGTTATTTAAAGGTTACAATAAAGAGTAAATAAATAAACAAATAATTACTTTCAGACCTGGTCAGCGTATGCTCCGTCCAATATTAGATGATATTTACCAGCCGCTAGTAAAACAGCAGGAGATACTGAGCCGGCAACAAGCTGTCCTCAGAACTTTGCGCAATACACTTAAAGAGTGCAGTGATATTACGCCCATGTTTAAATCCACCTCGATTTTGCGAAGCACTCCTTTCAGGAACAAAGCGTGAGTATCAGATTTTAATTATTTACTACGTCATCATTATCCATCTAATAAAGTGTTTACTATAGAAGTTTTGGTAGGAACTTGACCGTCGGCGGATTTCTACTCCTGTATTGTTTAATTTATAGTTTAAAGTGAATTTTGATATATAAAAGTGGTGCGATTTGGTGTATTAAATATTTGGGCATTTTAACTATTAGTGGAAACAATGAAACAAGTGTTCTGATGTTGATTCAGACCTCAATTTAATTTGTCTATTAGGTGAATTGAGAATATCGTCATCGACTAAAGTTGGTAAAAAAATTCTTCACTCGATAAAATAAAAAAAATGATGTGTCTTACCTAGTTTGAACACGTGTCTTATTGTCGTCGGTGGTGTGTCTTTCCTAGTGTAGCGGCGTTGGGAGTAGTGGTGCTGGGATTAGTGGTGACGGTGATAGTGCACGCAATTGAGGGAGGGCGGGAGGTGCTCTTCAAACTAGGTAAGACACATTATTTTATTTTATCGAGCGGATATACGCGAAGTAATTTTTTACCAACTTTAATATAATGGATTTCTGCAAAGTAACGCCTGATTCTATTAATTATCGTCATCGACTGTCTGCTGGCTCAACCTGCAGTCCAAATGTTCTAAATACTTCGCAATGTGACGAATCTATATATTGTGAAGAAGTTTTTAAACAAATCATTATGTAGGATAATTTCTTATTACTTGACACTGAGACCGAGACTATAAATAAACTCACGTTTTGTAATGAGACCAATATGATCTTACTACAAAATGTGTTTAGATTATAATATTTTTACCGGTTTAATGCATACAATGTAAGCTTTATGTATCAAAATTACGTGTCACATTGTTTGTTCGCTACTAAACTGATTGCAATGAAATTTTGCACACTATGTCAGGCCTGTGTCACTTTTGCTACCTGCGTGAAATAATTACCTACAATCGTGAGCTGCCCCAGGAGCTAGTTTGAATGTTAAAGTTTTTTTTAACGCTGTTTACGTAAATAATTTTTTGTAAATACTTGTTGAAATAATCTTCAAAATAGTTTTTGTTTAGTGTTTAGTATATTTAATTGTAGGATAAAATAGCTGGAAAAGTTTTAATGTAATTTAAGAATAATATGTATGTATATTACCTATTTGATAAATTATAATAGCGAAACGTCGTTCCTACTATAATTGTTGCGGGGATGGATGCTTAATGAGCAATTAAAAGGATAGATATATATCATTTTTTGAGTTACCGAAGGATAATGAAAGGTAAATTTATTTCATTTTTTTCTTAGATAGGTACTTATAGCGAAAAAATAATTTAGTAATAATTAAATGACAGAAATAATACCTAAGTACTTTATTACAAAACTTATTTGAAATTTACCTCACTACCCAAGTACCTACTTACATACCTATACTCGTCTTTGTAATTAAAATATTTTAAGTTATAATAGCACTAAATACTGAAATTAAAACTTTGTTTACTTGATTTTCAACTAAGTATATTACGAGCATATTTCTGTTAGGAATGGTATTTCGGGTTTATTTGTTGTTTAAGCTATCTACCTATACGAACCAAGTATCGCGATTCCCGATGAATGGCCTTGCAAGTTGCATGCGTTAGGCATTACAGAACTCACATACTAGATAATATGGTCGATTATAGTCAGCATAGGTACTTTACCTAAGTAAGTTACCATTTCACAATGTATTTTTTTACTCTTTATTAACAGCCCTTAGCAACCACGGAAAGTCCGTAGTAACGTAGTAAGGGGAAAAGATGCAAAGTAATACGAACACTGGCGCGCACCGATAAAGTTTTATTTAACTTGCGTGCGCGATTTATCTGATTAATAATAACTATGTAGGCTATTAAAACGTCGGCAAGCAGTCAACATCAAAAGGGTGCAACTTCTGTACGTAGTACTATTATTTATTCTGTGACTATGTGCAGTTTGCTGCAACTTGAGAGATATGATAGTTTTTATACCTATAAGTGCCCTATATTTTTTATTGCTAATTTCAGGAGTTTTTTTTAGGAAAGCAAATGGTCGTCGGAAAGGGTAGAACAACGTCTGCGTGGTCAGCTAGTATATAATAAAATCTTTTTTCGAAATCTATCAGATTGTCCATACCCAGTATCTGTTCCTTTATCTCGTTCTGAGCAGACTTACACAGATTTGACATTTTTTAATTTTTTTTAGAATAATGGTAACAAGCGAGCACACAGTCATGATAGTTTTTATACCTATAAGTGCCCTATATTTTTTATTGCTAATTTCAGGAGTTTTTTTTAGGAAAGCAAATGGTCGTCGGAAAGGGTAGAACAACGTCTGCGTGGTCAGCTAGTATATAATAAAATCTTTTTTCGAAATCTATCAGATTGTCCATACCCAGTATCTGTTCCTTTATCTCGTTCTGAGCAGACTTACACAGATTTGACATTTTTTAATTTTTTTTTAGAATAATGGTAACAAGCGAGCACACAGTCCACCGGATGGTAAGTGAATGCTGTGGCCCCTAAACATCTACATTTACATTTATTATCTATTAAGAATCAAAATGCAGATGCGTTTACCTTGTTTCCAATAAAAAGGGTCTCCGGTTCTCTACACTCACCATACGAAACACAGCAGCATTGAGCTGCTATTTTAGGCTGGTATTCTGTACGTACTTCCCCGTTGGAGCCGACCCATTCGTGCTACAACCATAATATAGCTGCAGCATAGTTCTACCACGTAAAACATAGTTTGTAGGGTGTCAAAAAGTGATACAATTCCTAAATAAAGACACTATGTCAGTTTCATAACATTTTTAATACACCTCAATTGAAATTATCCATTTTTTTTAAAATAGAATAAGGATGACAAACGAGCACACAGTCCACCTGATGGTAAGTCGTTGCTGTGGCCCATAGACATCTACCCTCGTTTGCGAATCAAAATGCAGATGCTTTGTAAGCCGTGAAGACTACAATGGATTGCCTCTTCCAGTAAAAAGAGTCCGATTCAAGCATTAAGCTGCTGCAGCGAATCCATTTTGTAAACTACACATGATTGTTATAAGAAGGGGTTCCTGTTGCTGAACCAATGGTAGAAAAATAACTATTATAACCATAGCATCAGTCTGTAAAGAATACATTGTCATCGATCAGTCTTTTTTTAAACAGGGAATATTTGACGTAATTATACTGGTGGCCACAATAACATTTAACACAGTTCCACATTTAATTGTTAAATATAGTAACTAATATTAATATAAATTTTCCAGAGACCCGCTGTCGAAACTGACCAAAAATATTCTCAATATGAGTATTGAACCAGAGAAAGATAAGGGCAATGAAAAAACGATGTCAAATCAAAAGCTTGACGCTCTGAAAGATATGCTATCAAATCACAAAACAGTCAAAATAAAACCTGTGAATGTCGAGTTGCGGCAACAATTAGCGGCCATGCGTCAAAACTACGAGCGGAGCATGAAGGAGAAGGAAGTGGAAAAAGAAAAAGTGAGAAATATGCAAACAGCTGTTAAGATTGAACCTGAAAGTCCTAAAATAGAAGCAACTGTGATTAGTGGTATGTGTAGTTGGAAAGTACTTAAAAACCAAACATTGTGTAAGAATATACTAAACTTAAGAGGACTGTGAAGGAAAAGACTGTGAAGAATTTTCATACAAAAAGCGATAACGTTTTCCCCCAGTAGAAATGGTCTAATTTTCATAATTTTTAGAAATGTAGATAAACGATGTCCGTACGTTTTTATTTTAAAGAAATATTGCGTACGATATAAGTTATTAGTATCCGAATATCTATATTTTTGACTTAAGAACTTCCTCGAGCGTTTTTTTTTTATTATTATATTAAACTGAATATTAAATAATTCGGATACTTCGACGTGCATGCATGAAGAAGATAATGAATCTGAAAGAAGCGAAAGAGGTTTGTAAGGATCGTGACACTTGGCGATCTGTTCTCTCTGGCTACCCCGTCAGGGATTGTGCGTGAAGTTAAGTATAAGTAGTAGTATTAAACTGAATTGAGCCGTGGTAGCTCAGATGGTTAGCGCTCGCTGTAAATTTCACAGTATGCGAGCAAACCGGGTTGGATCCCCGCCGGCACCAATGAAATTGTTAATTGCAATTTTAAGTGCTGATTTACCACGTACTCTGTACTCCTCACCGCCGAACATGTCTGAGAAATAAGAAAAAAATATTTCGAAAACATGTGAAGTTCGCCAACAGCATTGGGGCAGCGCGGCGGACACTTCCTTGCTCTCTCAAAAATGAGTGAAGACCTGTGCCCAACAGTGGGACATGTATAGGCTGTAACTTTAACTAAAAAAAGAAAAACCTTCAGACCTAGACTAAATGAATCTAATGAAACCAAAATTGTAGGCTTAGGGGGTTGAAAACGTTATCGTCCGAAACAATATTTGAAAAAGGAAATATAGGCAAGTGCTTCCAAAATTTGCAACTCTCTATCGCACGATACGGTGATAAAACAGGCAGAGCAAGCGGTATGAAACAGATAGCATTTTTATTATTAGCACACAGAAAACATATAAAGGACACAATGATTGTGCCTTTTTTAATTAATTTTTCTTCACTATTTGCCTATACTACTTATGCTGTACCTTCTCTGCAAATTTGGCTGGTTATATTGCAAGATAACCCTGTAACTAACTATACATACAAATTAAGTTTCTTTAAATTCTTTGAAATGAAGATAACTGATATAATCCAGTTGTTTGTTTTTCAGTTGTAAAGCCTGACGTTATAAAATCAGATCCAAAATTAGAAAATAAGACTCAACCCGTGTTAACAGTGCCAACATATACTCCAGTTAGCAACAGGGTAGTAAAACCGGCATTGCCTAATGTAGCTAGAACACTGTTTACGGATGGTAAGTACTGAACAACTCTTTGCCGTTTTGTTTTGGTATAATGTAAACATTCATCATTCTATTTCGTCCTTTGGGTATCGCAAGAGTTGCCGTCGTCAACCTTTTCCAACACCAGTTATAACTTTCGGGTGGATTTTCCATCATCAGTGAGTCTATTAGAGCCTCAGTTTCTAAATTGCACCATCTGCTGATGAGGTTGGCAATAGGATTTAAGAGGATTGTGAAGCTGTAAATTTTCATACAAAAGCGATAACGTTATTTCCACCGTAAACATCGTTTTATTTGCATATTTTTTTGGAAATGTAGATATAATGAAAAACTAGGTCTGTACGTTTTTATTTAAAGAAATATTGTGTACGATGTAAGTTATTATATCTAAATATCTATATTTTCGACTTAAAAACTTCCTCGAGCGTTTTTATTTTTTTAATTAAACCAAATTGAATTATGTACTAAAAAACAATACGTACAGACCTAGTGTACTTAATCTAATGAGATCAATTGTCTCATTTCGTTAAGCTTTAGGGGGGTGAAAACGTTATCGGCCGAAACAATATTTCAAAAAGGAAATGTAGGTGCCTTCAAGACTTGCATATCTTTCTATCGCACGATACGGCGATATGGAGCGAGCGATATGAAATAGATAGCATTTTTGAAATTACATTCCGCGCCGCGTATCGGTACTTCAAAATCCTCTTAAAAAGTAACATTAGGAGTGTAACTTACTAGCGTGAAGTACTTGCTAGGCTAAGGTAAATGCCATAAAAGTATTGTTATATCTGGTAGATGCCAGTTCTTTTTATAATACCAAAATATCCTAACTAGTATTTAGGAGTAACTTCTAAGGAGCGATGGTTCTGGTATTGGTTGCCAGCCTACCTACCAACTGTAGTGAAAACATTGAATCTTCTCTTAAGAGACTGATACTGAGTGATAAAAACCAAAAAACTAAAAATTCTTATTTCGTCTCTAACTCCGTCTCCTTCGGAGGTTCTTACGCAGTCTTTACTTCCCGCATCCCGGAATTTCTCGTAACTGACTTTTACAACATTCTGATAATATCGCAGTTTTACGTACAAAATATTTCAATTTAATGTCAACAAGTTAATATATATACTAAAGACATACAATAGTTTTGAAAAAAAATTGTGAACATACACACGTAATTACGTGGGGACCCACATAAATAACTGCCGAAGCTAGTTTTTAGTCGCTTTAAAATAAGTGTAAACTTACTTCAAAGGGCATTGTTCTGCGTCCATACAATTTTCGCCTAAGAACCAACAGTGAAGAAAAATACCTTTTTCCGAAATTACACATAATTTTATGTAAGAACAATAACTCCTGACGGACACTTCTGAAAACTTAGATATTAGCAGTTATCATGGAGATTTTGAGGTTATGTTTTATTTTTATGAAACATTACTATGTTATTGCTAATGTAAGCAGTCCAGTCTTAGCCTAGCATTTATACGGTAAATAAAACTCAGATTGGGATTAGGTGTTTTATTCATACCAAATAAATACAACTTATACAGTCTCATTTGGTTAAAGTCCGTGATTCAAGCCAGGTAGGTCGCTAAAGAAGAGTATCGATATCCGTTGTTCAAGCCGAGTCGTAATTTATAAAAACTTATCGCGTAACAAACCAACTGCACAGTGCACTTACATTCCGAAAACATTTGCAGAAATATATTTTTTCAAACGAAACCAAAACGATCGGACGTCTGACGTCTATTTTTTTTTTGGAGTTTATGGCCTGGTATCTAGACCTTTAGGCCAAGTCTTAAGTATTTTTATTCGGTTTATTGTAATTTCCCCACTCCTTCATAGTATACTGCTTCACAATATGTTGATGCGTCACATTGTGCAGTTCTTGGGAGATTTTGGCGGCAACTTGATCCAGCAGACAGCTGATAGTTGGCGATGGTATCTAAAGGTGCCTATGCAAACAAACAGCTTATCTTGAGAATCCATCACCATCAGAGCACTTGTTTCACTGTTTCCACTAATAGTTCACATGCGTAGACACTTAATACACAAAATCGCAACACTTTTACATATCAAAGTCCACTTCAAACCATTATTTAAACAATAATACAGGAGCAGCAAACCGCCGCCGGTCAATTTCCCGCCAAAACTCCCGTCTGACGTCTATCTATTTTGACGTCATAGATTACTGTATATATACTAGAGATATATTTGATATGTCGATATGTTTGACGAGTTGTCATCTGTCAACGTTATTACCTTTTTTTGCGTAGAGCAATGCTGATTTGCCAATGAGAGTACAATAGTATTGTTATTTTAAATGAAAACAGATGATTTCACTGTGCCCCAGTTCCTTGTGACATATATTAATCTGAGATATATTTTAAAATATAAACGTTTTCAAAATATATTTGAGTTTATGACTTTTGAAATATGTGAGTGAAGGTATTGTGCATTTGGCCAAATCACAGGAGGCCATAAATGCAGCACGTTAGTATAAAAAAATAGCTACAAAGTTCAAAATTGAAAAAGTCCTTTTTATTTTTGATTTCAGAATTCAGAAGTGTCCGTTACTATGTAATGAATGTTATATAATGCATAATTAAGGATAAGAATTTTGATAATTGTCAAATTATGTTGGTTCTTAGGCGAGTTTTAGCAATGTCCTTTAAGATTTAGTCTTGCACCTCCAACCAGCTTGCGCAGTCCACCCTTGGTTGCTAAAAAATGGAACAAACGAAACTTTTGATATTGGACTCCCATTTGTGCTTTTTTATTGCTACCAACCATTTATTTGCTAAATCACTGCTTTTCGGAATTCTGAAATTAGGAAAGTAATTTAACCATATTTACCTTTATAATGTACCTTTAAAACTAAGCTATTCAAAGGTTTTATGTATTTTAAAACTATATTTTTATTATTATTGTTACGAACTTGGGGTACGAGACAATTAAAAACTGCCGAATGAATTACCAAAATCGACACTTTAATTACAGAGCACTAATTACAACAAACCACACTAATAATAAAACACAATTGTACTACTGATCACTTTAGTTCGCAATTGTTCGCTTCGAAGTATTCGCTTATATCGCCAATTCAATACTGACTCGATCGTAGTCTATACCGGCCTTATATAGGGCCTCAGATAGTTTCCAGAACCTTCTACTATAGAAACATCTAGAATGTTCGAGTACATATCGGTCCCGATATTTCTAGAAGGATCTTGACTCTCCTAGTTCTGCTACTCGATACTAGAGGGCGCTAGTGGTAACAAGTGTTGCCATGTACAAGACACACAGATTACCCCCTAATACCGCATCATTGAATATTTGTTCTGTTTCGAGTTCACCAAATTTGGCCCTATGCAAGGGTTGCGGGGGACGTGGCAAATGCGCTGTGATTGGATATTTAAAGGTCAAACATAATGTACCAAACCATAGTGATGGAACAGGGTTGGGACGTTGAGCGATAAATTTGGGATTTATTGATTATTGATAATGATAATGTTAAATAAATATATTGATCAATTTTTATTTGATGTTTATTAAAAAATTAAACAATGTATACATATATTTGTACATTTAATTTATAAATATATATTTGACTGATTTTTAAAATGCTTATAAGCTTAGTATAAAATTGTCTCACAGAATTCTTAGGATCTGTCTGTCTTCCTGGATAAGTAGAATAATCTTACGAGTATGTCTATGTATTTTTCCATAACACTCTTAGCTAAATCAATGACATGATTACAACTTTCCTCCTGAAAAATATCCTCATTAACAAAACTACTTAATGTTTGTGTTAAAAAACCTGGGCGACCATCTACAGATCTGTACCACTTTCCTAGTGTTTTTACAGAGGGTAAAAAAGTATTAAATGTTTTGCGTACATAATTATAAGCCTTAGCTGAGTAATTTATGGTGAGTGCAACTGTGGTGAATAATTTTGTTCAAACAATTTTGCCTGATTTTCTAGATTTTGATTTTTCTAAGGAACTTAATGCGTCATTGTTTTCCGCTGTTAATGAATTTTTGTTTTCTAATTCTACCAATAATGACTTCAAAGAAACTATTTGTTATTTTAGTCTTCTGTTGGAATCACTTAACTTTTTAACTCTTTTATCTTTTTTGTTCATTACGTTGGTTAATTCGATGATTCTTCTACAAAGATGTTTTTAACTGGAGTATCAAATACAGATAGCGTATCAGGTATAGGAGAAAATTTTCTTTTTTGTTTTGTAGGCGTTTCTAAACAATGACTCTGATTTTTAGGTGTTGGCGGGTTTTTCGCGTCTTTCAGCGGTGAACCAGTAATCTAAATCAGAAATACATATTCGTTTCTTTCAAAACATTACCGATATAGTATTATTAATTAATACACCATACGGCACGTCTTCCAAATTTAGATGTACTTAGTAATTATAATAAGATATTACTGCAGTTCATGTAACACTAAATACCAAGTCAAAACAATAATCACATTATAACTTTTACATGTTTTATGATTTATAAATCCGTTAAAAATAGCTTGATTTTGACGTGTAACATTCACCTAAATATAAGAATATCATGTTTCACTCAACCACTTAATGATATTATTGTGTAATCTACGTTAGTACTAATCTTTAAAAAAATGCAAAAGTCCATACTAAAACTGGCAAGTATAGAGATGGTATAGCAGAGTCCAACAGCCTTATACGGTTTTTCATAATATTATGAAGATTGTCTTCTGTAAAGTGATTTGAACATAGTACACTATTTTTGGTGGGAAACCATTCGTCCCCTCGACAAGTTGCGTCGAAACACATCTTTTTTCCTTTCAAAGCATTTAGGAAATCTATAACATATAGTTACCACAATGATACGTCACTATTTATATAAAATAATATGACCTCGAAAAAAAAATTAAAAGATGACCAAACAAATATCGACTTAAAAATCACAACACTATCGATACACATGCTGTTGTTAGACAAAGACAACTATTGTAAATTACGTAACGAGTGAAAGGGACATTTCAAAAAGACATCAACGGGTGCTTAATTGTTATCACTTTGCACCATTATTATCCCAGTATAAGTTGATCACCGGTGCATTTGAAATACGTTAACGTGATAAGAATAGAATTTACTTACTGATTAAAATTTATGCCATCTTTTTGATAACTGGATGTCTTAGCTGACTTGTCACACCATTTTACTGCACAGGAAGCCATTTGTAATGTATTTTGGATACAAAACTATTTTTAAATTGTCAAAAACTCGGACGTGCCTACGGATCACAAACTTGGTCGATACCACAGAACACAATTACTCTCTACCAAGAGAAGAACGCCAACTTCATACTAAAAATCAGTAACACGTGTTTATGAGTGTACACTAGAAGCGCTACGGTGGACGCCCATATAAAACTTAGCGGGAATTTCCAACCTTTTATTCTGTAACTAAACTTTTTATATAAGGCATATTCGAGTAATTTTGGCTCAAGCCTCACAAACCTATGGGGATTAATTCCCACATACTCGTATTTGAGAGGTTGCACCAAAATTACTCGAATATACTTTAGATTAGTATGTGGGATAAAATAAAACTATAAATAAGTATATTTATGTAATTTGAATCTGAAACAGATACAATTCGAGTCAATATCGTAATAATCCCTACAAATAACGACATATAGTTTATAGACTTACCACAATATTGTCATAAGTTTTTCTTTTCCTATCATAGGAAACCTGCAGACAGTGATCAGATGATTTGTGCTTTTTATTTGCACAACACTTAACTTACTTTCGATGATGATCACAAATCGTGCATAAAACTTTGAAATAATGAATTCATTTATATTCAATATCTTATACAAAGTTAACATCTCACAAAAAGTCTTTACTGTATAATGTATATTCACGACGATATTATGACTGTGTATTCACCATACAAAAATGAAGTCCATATTAACTGAATTTAAGCAAAAATCAATAATAAATATTAAAAAATAAACTGTACTAAATTTTAATAAATTTCAGAAAATATCTTCAATATGAAAGACGTTGACAAACAGATGTCATTTTTTTCTTTTTCTATTAATTCATGGCTTCTATTGATAGAATTCTGCTAATATTATGATATTAATTAATAGGTAAATTAATTGTGCAAATCTCAGAATAATATATATGTAATTATACTTTAAAGAGCAAACCAAAAAAAGCTTAACACAGAATTAACATTTTTAGTTTCTTCCGGTTTAATATGAATTTGTGTATCTAATTTTTAAAATGGCAATCTAAAACAACATTAAGGAAAGAAACAGCGATATTTTTTTCTCGCTTTATTTTTACAATCCCAACACGAACATTGACAATATCATGATTGTGTGCAGATTTTTCAGCTTTCATACAAAGTTGGATCACCCTGGTCGATACTGATGTCGTGATTCTTAGCGTCACTTCGTATTCTAGCTACAGCAAGTATGTGTTGCGCGCGTTTGTGGCCCTGTATGCGGAATCTATTAGGGGGTAATCTATGACAAGACGTTAATAGTGGCGCGCAACATTATTTTAGAAATGTTTTTCTTTTTTTTTTTACTTATTATAAGCGTGTGCTTGACCACAATCTCACCTAAGTAATAAGTGGTGATGAAGCACTAGATGGTAAAATCTTTGGTAATACTGTAATTACAAAATATTCGTGTACAACGTGGTACAGCACTGGCTCAAATTCAAGGCAAGCATGAAGCGTGGAGCACGTGCTGTCTCGACCCGTCCGCATGCCTATCTCAACAACCTTTGACACCATAAGTAATTTTGTTAAAACCGGTGTTTTCTTATCACAATATTACTTATCGATGAAAAGAAATATCATTATTCTTCAAGTTTGTTCTGTTCATCGTTTTTACACCTTGTTACTGCACATTTCACCGTGGTAACTTAAAATTTAAGTAAATTCTGGCGAAAGGAACAATCAGCGGTTTGTGACTAATACCGTCGCCCTTGCAATTTCGAGACTGTGCTAACGCGCGCTCTATAGCTTGTTTATGTATATTCTAAGATTTGCATGTAATTTTTGGGACACTGAGAATTAAATTCAAATTATACGATGTAGTAATATATAAAAAATGGCATCTGTTATCCAATAGCCAATACTTAGTTTAGAACCAAGACTTCCATTACTGGTAAATAAGAATTAAAAAAGAAGGCAATTCATCTATATCACTATTCTTCATCCAAGATTGATAAACGCATCAGTGGCTTTCTGATAGCCTTACAGAATTCCGGCACTTTTAATCAAATAATCATCACTTGTACTAATCTAAATGTACAATAATATATCTATAAAACTTTTAGAGCCAAAACCAGAACCGGTTAAGTTCCCGACAAGTCAACAGCAACAGCAACCCCTAATGCAAGCAGCCGTCAAGCCTGAACAACCAAAAGCTACTTCTGGTATGGTCACCGTCACGAGTACAACACGCAGTTTACTAAAAGACATGCTACAGAACAAATCTCAAACTAACGCTGAAACTAAAAACGATGCCAACACATTTATGGGACAAAAAATATGTTCACCTAGCGCCTTTAATTGTATGTACAATAATTATTTATTTTTATGTGATATTGTCTTACTAAAATGGTGAAACTTACAAATATTAATTTTGACGTGCACTACCTGTATTTAAACATACATCTTCCCATTTTCACTCCGGAGTTATCACCATTACCATCATCATCATCATCAACAACAACAAAAAACAATGTCATCGTTACTTTCAGCCCATTACCAAGTTCACTGTCGAACATAGGCCTAAATAGTTTGCCATAAAGCACGACCATGCTTACCATAACTAAAGAGAGGCCTGCACTTTGTACAGCTATCCATCCATTCATCCATTACAGCCTATGAAAGTCTACTGTTGAGCATAGGTCTCTCCTTAGGTGGCCTCATACTCCCTTATGAGGCAATCTAAGGCCAGACCTACATATATTTGCACCTATATGTGCAATAGTTTCTTTGTATATAATTATTATATAACATTTTGTCAACTTAATTCTGATATTACTCTATTATTTTATGATAAAAAATAACTAATTCATTTTGTTTTAGTCTCGAAAACTCCCACAACAATGGCAGCACCCTCCGCCGTATTCACATCAAAACCAATAGCAGATATTAATAATATGTTTAGTAAATTTCAATCACAAACTTTTTCTGTCGAACCCATATCTCAAACGCAATCTATCAATGTAAAGTCAAGTGAAACTGGTGAACTTGAAGGTGCTGGTGCAATAGATAAAACACTTATTGAGAAACCTATTACGAATGTGTTCACATTGAAACCATCTAATCCATTACCAGCGCAATCACAAAATGTCCCGGATGTTTTAAAAAGTAGCACTCATACTCTTACACTAAATAAAACAGAGGTTAGTAATAAAGTAGATGTAAAGATAAAAGAAAAAGAAAATGCGAAAGTTAAAGAAAACATTCCGGAAAAAGATAAATTACCTAAGGAACAACAGAAACCAGCCGATATTGTAAAAGATAATGGTTCAAAACCACTTAGCTTGGTAAACAAAGCTGCCACTCCAATCATTTCTACTGCTCAAGGTGCCGTGCTTACACCAAATTTAGGTAAATATCATTACATTTTTTCATATTTGTAACATGATTGTTAGTTTAAAATAATAACATTTTATCATAGCTCAAGCTGAAAATAAAGGGCCTGTAGACGTTAAACCGGAAATTACTATCAGTAAATCAGACCTGGAAAAACCTGCGGTTCCTGTTATTAGTTTTGGTAGTGCTACAGGTAGTTATCTAATTGGAATATTTCTGAAATATTTTTGTCAGTAATTGATATTATAGGAACTTTTTTTCTTTCTTTCATTTTTCCATAGTTTCAAAACCACAAACGCTATTTGGAGCATCCCCAACTCAAGCAACTTCAGTAATTCAAGCAACTGTTTCAACGCCTTCCACAACCGCAAACGAATCTACTATAATAAAGGAAACGGATGTTGTTACGACAGCATCCGCATCATCTATATTTGGAACAGCAGTGGCTTCACAGAAAGCTTTCCAAACAACTGACTCAAAACCATCATCTCCAACTGGATCAATATTCGCTACATCACCGACTTCAACTGCAAGTCCATTTGCATTATCTAGTATTTTCAGTTCATCTAGTACAACTGCTTCTACCACAGGAGCTGGAACATCAACGGCGCAATCTATTTTCAGCAGCGCCGTATCAGCAACGCCTTTTACAACTACGTCAACACCAGTTTCAGCTCCTGTAGAAAATAAAACAACCACTTCTCAACCTTCAAGCGACTCTTCAACTACTGTAGCATTTACTACGTCAACGACTGGTTCTATTTTTGGTTCACAAACCACCCAAACAACTGCTTTTACTACTACCTCAACTCCAACGGTTACAACGCAGAGTATATTCGGCACATCTACATCAACGTCTCAGTCTGTGTTCGCGCCAACATCTAGTACCCAAAGCGTCTTTAATACAGCAGCCGCTACACCTGTGTTTGGAAGTGCTGCAACTACGACACAGAGCGTCTTCGGTGCTGCTACTACTACAACGACAAGTTCGTTCTGGGGTACATCTTCTACGCAGAATTGGAGCTTCCAAACTACCAGCCCTCAGACAGTGTTCGGAGGCGCTTCCACACAGGCGTCTATCTTCGGTACCCCAACTCCTTCTACCCAAGCGTCAGTTTTCGGGACACCAACACAAACAACTCAAAGTGTGTTTGGTTCTACAACGCCGACGACGCAAACTTCTGTGTTTGGAACTCCAACTACAACTCAGTCTGGGTCGTTGTTCGGTGGTGCAGAGGCTAATTTGTTCGCAGCAGCTAGTATATCCACAACCAATGCTCCGTCATCGACAAGCGGAGGAAACATTTTCGGAAAAAGGTGAGCAAAATTTATTTTTACGTTTTCATTTTTAATATTATTTTCTATAATCAAACATTGTATCATATTTCTTAATTGTTTTATAAATAAGTTCGATTATCGCAATACAATCTTATTAGTATTTTCTTTATAAATCTTAAAAATTGATAAAGTAAATGGTTATTGATGTTTACTTTGAAAAATGTAAAAGACGTCACAATATAGATCCCATTAAGGCGAAGCCCGGCTTCAGGTCGCTAGTAATATATAAAATATTAATAAATTTTGATGTATGCTGATGATTTATCTTCAATTTTCAATCACTTTTTTAGCAGTACTGGTTCAGTCTTCGGTGGCGGTAGTACAAATGTCTTTGGTAGTAAAGCGACTTTCGGTCAGTCAAATCAATCAGCTGCCGCTATATTCGGAGGAGCAAACTCTACATTCAAACAGAATAATACTTCGACTAACTTTTGGAGTGGTGGCAGCGCTACTAGTGGAAACGCGTTTGGCTCTACAGGTTTTGGTAAGCACTTTTACTGCTTCAAAATCATATATAATATACTTTGCGTGTGTAGAGTCCGTGTGATAGAATTGTAAGAGAATCCATCACCAGGCAAGGTCAAAGACCTCTGGGCCTATAGATGGCGGTATACTCTCTCGTATATTAACGGCAGATGTAAATTTTGAGAAATAAGGTTTGAGAACCTTACTACAAAACTTCATTGAAATCCGTTCAGTAGTTTAAGAGTCCATCGCGGAGACAAACAACGTGACACGTAATTTTTATATATAAAGATAATATCAAATACATAATGCCAGGAGTGATCTCGGCTATATTTTACCCGAAAACCCTGCGGTATTTTAGCACAAAACTTTCGCTATAACTAAAAAATAATTATATTCTACTTACATTAGAAGGCGACATCAAATATTTTTTAATATGTTTATCGCCAATAGGTCAACAAGCGACAACCCAAGCTTCAATATTCGGAGGTACTACTGGGGGCAGTTTCAGTGCACCTTCCACCGGCCAGCCTTTAGGAAATCCACAAGCGGGCGCCTTTGGAAGCAGTGAAGCCAAGCCGTCCGTGTTTGGCTCTCCGCAACAACAAACATGTTTGTATATAACATTTAATATTTTTAGTATGTAACCATTTATAATTTTTAATACAATATTTTATTTATAAATGATGCCTTCAATTTACTATGACATGTTAACTAATATTTTGTGTTCATTTCAATGTGTGCGTGGTTTAAAGTGGTCTTAAAATGATAGTGTTAGAATTCATAAAAAGAAGTATTATATTACATCTAAATACAAGGCATTTATAAGTCGACTTAACCTCATCCTTTTGTTACAGCATCTGCTTTTGGTGGTTCCGCTGTGTTTGGATCGAAGCCAGTATTTGGACAAACGGCGAGGTAAAAACGACACAATTATTTCCAGACACTAAATCAATTATTTTTTGTTTTTATTAACGAACGTATACCACATTTATTTTAGTTTCGGTTCTTCAAGCGGTTTTGGATCGTTTGGTGGTTTTAACAAGAGTCCCAGTGGTGGATTCGGTGCTCCCGCAACATTTGGCGGATCTCCTACATTTGGGAGTCCCGGTTTTGGTGGTACCTCGCCCGGAAAAGTATTTGGGGGTGCTTCGCCAACACCTAGTAAGTGACTCTTAATGTTTAACGCATGCAAATTCTAATAAGTCCTAAACCAAAATAACTGAATAATAACTTATAAAATAAAAAGGATATACAGAAGTATTTTGAAAAAAGAAATTAACATCTACCTGATTAAAACCACCATTAATGCTTTCTTGAATTGTATATAGATATGTTAAATTTATGTTCGTTTTTCCAGGTTTTGGAGCACCAACGCAGTCGAATGCCACGTTTGAAAACCTAGCGACACAAAATACCCTAACCTTTGGCAACTTGGCCCAGCAGTCTAATAGTCCAACACAGCCGAGTTTTAACACGTAAGCATTTAAAAAATAATGAACAAGTTTTACTCAAAAGCACAATTACTCACTAAAGTTATTAAAAATTAATCTTTAGACACTGAGAGGGATTAAGGACAACGAATTATCCGTCGCACTGCGCATATTAGCGGGCGTCACATTGTGTCTTTTTTCAGACATGTCGGTTTTCTCACGATTGTTTGTTTGTAAATGAAATTTTGCTTTGTAGCATTCCTTGGGGGAGGGCTAGCAGTGGATTTCTAAAGAGCAGCAATGATGATGAAATGAAGACTTAATTAGCCCCTTGGTAGGCCCTGGGCCAACGATTTACATTGCCATTAAACTCTCACAGAAATGAGAGAAGGCTCGTTCCTAGCAGAGACGTATAAAGACTGTCATTTTATTATATTTCCGTCGTCAAAGCAAGAATGATGACAGGGATTTGTGGGTACCAAGTAAAAAAATTCTCAAATTAAGTGCGAAATCAACGCGTAACTACATGACTACTACTTGTATTCTATGCTAATCTCGAAGGACGAAGCAGAAGTATAAGACATTATAGATCTCAGAAGTGACAACGCTTGCCTAGCTTTCTTCCTTTGAAGTTGGCTGCAAGTGTCTATTGAGTGCAGTAGCCACTTAATATCAGGTAGACTGTAAGTGTGTTTGTCACTTCAGTTTTGATATATTTGATTATATTATTGATATAAAAAATATAATGAAAACTAAGGTGGACTGTCCCGTTTTTAGTCTCCACTTCTCGTTACTTGTCATACAAAATACAGTTATATGATGCTGTTTTTTACGCTGGCGTTCTGTAAGAGAATGTTCTTTCTCCGTTCGAGCCGAACGATTCGTATTGTGCAATAATAATAATAACATTTATTTTAATTTTTTATTTAACTTTTATGTTTTTTTTTTTTTCAAAGGTCTCCTTCATTTACTGGCTGGCGAGGCTGATGACAACTTTACAAGGAACGCGCTTCGCGTATAAAGTGAAATTGCATAAACTAGATTTTTTATTACAAGTAACAATCATGACAATACTTTGAAGAACAGTGCAAAGTATCGTTTAAATTTAAAAAAATTATGATATTTCACAGAGTGTAATTGTAATAATTTAATTAGTAGGTATGTTTGATTTATTATGATTGTAATCTGTTACACAGTTATATAAAAATAAATAAATATTTGATTGATTTGCTATCTGTGCTTTTTGCAATCTAGTATATAATTTATGAATCGCCTTTAGTTTCATGTTGCTGAATGAAATCTAAAAGTCTTAACAACTGAACATTATGCTATAATCATTTCGCGTTAAAATACTCTAATTTACGCTATGGTTTCCTATTATTGCTCCAATTCATGTAAGCGGGCAAAGGATTCCAAAATGAAGAGGATGGGATGGATTAATAATTGTGACTTGTGTATTCTTTTGCAATCATTAATATGCCTGCAAATACTAGTATACGTGAGTTTTCGAAGCTCAAAACAATCGCTTGTCCCTGCTGCTTCTGCACGACAACGTGTGACCTCGTACTGCGCAACAGACGGTCTCCAAGTTACAAGAGCTGGTGTTGGAAGCTGTCCGTTATCCGCCGTACTCACCAGACCTTGCGCTTACAGACTTCTACTATTTCCAGTAGTAACTTAATAACTTTTTGCTGGAAAAAATCAATACCAATACCAAAAATCAATATAGGCAGTACAAAATGCCTTTGAAGAATTTGTTGCCTCCCGTCGAGCTGATTTCTTCAAGAAGGGCATCAATAAACTGCCACTGCGTTGGCAAAGATGCATCGATTGCACGAGTGATTACTTGGATTAATAGAAATAAAAGATATAGAAAAAAAATTACGTTAACTTATTTCATAAAAAACGGCAGTTTCATTGGTAAAGACCTAATACTTATGTACGACTATATTTGCACCTGTGGCCGTAGGAAGGAAGGGGGGGAGATCTCGCGCCGAGCAAGCTGTTCTGCCCGGGGAGCGCCTAACGCTCCGATTGGTAGTTCGGAGCTATTCTATATAATATATAGAATAGCTAAAGCCTAAATCGCGCTAACAAAGTTCCGAACTTAAAGCAGTATATTATACTGCTTCAACTTCGATGGCTTCGATGTGTTTCGCTTGTGGCGCGACGACAGCGCCGCCACATCACCCCCCTGCTCAGACCGCAGGATAGTGCAGTCCGATTGCCGGTGCGTCCTTAATGCTGTGTGCGTACGGGCAAGTGACGCCGGTGTGAACGATATGGCTGTGTGTAATGCATGCTATACTACGCACTTGCAAGTGATGCCGGTGAGAACGATGAGCCGGAGCAAGTGCCAGGGATTGCCTTGTAGTCTGTGGTGAGTCGAAAAGGCAAGTAATCTGCGAGAGTGCCGTGAAGCAGAGGCCAGCAGTAAGGCTCAGAGCCGTGCCAAACACTATAGCGCAGAGAGTAGCTTGAAGGAACAGGAAGCATTATTATTCCAATGCTGCGATGAACCTTTGTAAAGCTAGATGGCTTGCAGAATGTGAAGACTGCAGACAATATCTGCTCGGGAGCGAATGAATGGGGTACTTGAGGACGAAGGTTTGAAGTTGTAGTTTCCGGAGGTTGTTGGTTGCGTGTTCATATCACGTCGGTTGGTCACCAGTGTAGCTGGTGGAAGGAAAAGGGAAGATCTCCCGCCGGGCAAGGTGTTCTGCCCAGGGAGCGGCCAACGATCCTAGTGGTATGGTAGTACGGAGCTATTCTATATATACTGTTTTAACTTCGGAACTTTGTTAGCGCGATTTAGGCTTCGATGTGTTTCGCTTGTGACGCGACGACAGCGCCGCCACACACCTAACAAATGTATTGAATTCGGTACTTTTCAGCACCATATTATAATAATCTGCGTTCGGTATCTCATGTAAGTAAATGTAATTCTTATGAGACATAAATATCTCAAACATCATTAGGTGATGTCTTATGTGTCTACAAGTTGAACTAATGTACTTATGCCAATTGTTAGCACTTTTGAAGTTTTGGAACAACGATTTTGGGAAAGGTTTGTTTGGTAGTTCATAGCGTGACCAGGTATTTAGTAAAAGGGTGTTAGACACGATGTAAGGCGACTTCATTTCATGTTGCCAGCATGCGAACTTCCGAAGAAGAGCTTTGTGTGTATACTTATTATCTTATCAATTGTCTCTCGAGTAGAGTCGAGGCAGCCCCCCACTGGATGGAAGATAGAAGGATGGAATTTGTAAAGAAATTTAAGGACGATGATGATATTATCTTGTTATAGTAAAAAATCTCTTCGAGTTGGTAAACAGGATTTATCTGTGCCTTCCACTTATTCGGCAACCTATTACACACACACACACACACACACACACACACACACACACACACACACACACACACACACACACACACACACACACACACAAACAAACACTCACGCCTGTCACCAAGAGGGGTTGGCAGAGACTATGGACTTCCATTTGACGAGATCCTGGCACACCTCTCTCGCCTCCTTTACATCCATATATCTACGCATATACGCTCGTCGGTTAAGGGTACTCCTAATCTGGCCATTATAGTAAGAATTTATTACAAACGCCACGCTTAAAAGATGGATTTACGATCGCGGTACCTGATATCTTGTGCCTTTCACGGTGCTGCTCGTCACCAGTTTGGGCGTTTTACATCAGACATAATATTATAGGTAATAACAAATTTCTATACGTTGTAGAACCACGCTGTAAGAACAGGGAAGGGTCAGAATTACCAGCACATAGCAGCTAAATGGTGCTGTGTTTTGTATAGTGAGTGTCCCTACACTTGAATTTCAGACACTTTTTTCTGGAAACGAGATATACAATTTTTGTTCTCAGGGGTGACAACGCATCTGCGTTTTGATTCTTAACTGAGGATTGATTTAGATGTCTATGGACGACAGAATCCACTTACTATCTGGAGGATTGCGTGCTCGTTCTCTTATTCTATTCAAACAATTGGTAACTTATGTTCAGAAGTCTGGCTAAATTCTTTGATTCGGTGGGGTTTGTCGTCATGTTCTTTTCTATTACTATCGTATAATGCACATAAATTCTCGTGCGGGTTGAGCGACTACACGCATTGGACGAATTTATTCTACTTCGTATTCCTGCTTTTTATGTACATTTTTAAAGGTTATTACTACATGTGCTGTGAACGCTGCCAAAGCCAGCATTCGACGAAACGCTATAAGGAAATAAAAAATATTATAGCGTGTAATGAAATTTAGTGCTAGATACTTGCCAGGTCCATACACAGGACATGCTCTAACCCTAACTCAGACCCTGCAGCTTAAGAGAAGCAGATCGATCAAAATGCTTGTCGTCCCAATACACCGCTGGAAGACACAAAAATGTTCCCTTTACCAATTAAATATTTTACGATTGAAAAGTACCTACCAAAATGACAAACCGTATGACAACTCTAAAGAAGCATCACATCTTGTTAAAAGAATACCCACAATTTCTCTCCAAATTGGTACACTTTATACCTATATCCGTTAAGTAAGAGTATCCACTACCCCATATCCCATGGGTGTCGTAAAAATTAATAGAATATATTATGTTTAATAAATTAATAAGAACTGCGGTTGCCAACTCGCCTGTCAGGTGTTCGTTCGGAAGTCCGTGATCAATAAACGATGGTTAAACAGTGGTAGAGCCACGCGGCAGCTTTTGCTGTCGCACGAATGGGCCGGCTCGAACCGGGGTAGTACCACCACCTCACAGAATACCAGCGTGAAGTAGAGGTTTACCTCTGCGTTTCGCTTGGTGAGTGCAGGTGGCCGGAGGCCCTTTTTACTGGAAATGAGGCATTCCATCTTAGTCCTCACGGGTGACAACGCATCTACATTTTGATTTATAACAGAGGATAGATGTAGATGTCTATGGGTCGCAGCAACCACTTACCATCAGGTGGACTGTGTGCTCGCTTGTCACCCATAACCTATAAAAAAAAATTATTTGAATTGGAGGGAAGGAGGGGAGGGTCAACATTTTTTTATCTTATCGTATACAGGTGTAAGGGACTTGAAATCACTAAGATTGTTTCCGTAGGAATATTTGGACGTCTCTAGAATCATTATTTATTTTACAGACAGCTTGAGCGAAATCCGTCGGCATGAAAGGATTTGTAAGTTATCAGTGTATACATGGTAATGTCAGTAAGTTTGTTATAAGTTGGATTTGAAAAGTACAGGGCTCTAAAACGTCTCTCGTAACATTCATCAGGTCTAATTGGATCCTGGTACCATCACTTAGTGATTTCCAGGCATTGTCTCCCAATGAGATTACTTGAACCATTTAATAATATGAGAATCAAACCCATAGTTCGCCAGCTTAGACAGTATTATTGTTTGATTGAAGTTAAGAATGGTCAAGACCTAGATTGACAGCATCACTTTTTCCTTAACAGCAAGCAGATTATCAACTACGTGTAGCAGAACTCTTGAAGTCCTGAGCACCTTCCGAAAACCAGATAGCTTGAAAGGCAGTAGGTATGCCATTGATTTACAGGTACTTGATCATTTGTGTGCATACTGTTTCGTCTTGTACTTTAAATGTCGTAAATTAAACCGTTTGTTCTTGAAAAGATTTACTACTTATGTCGTAACATAATATTATGTAGGCGTGGTCATGGCCCTACCATTATTAACATCATTACTTCTTACGTTACTCTGTTTGTACTCTATCATATTGTTGCGCGCCACTATTAATGTCTTGTACATGGCAACACTAGTTACACTAGCGCCCTCTAGTGTCCAGTAGCAGAACTAGGAGAGTCAAGATCCTTCCAGAAATTTCGGGACCGATATGTACTCGAACATTCTAGATGTCGCTACAGTAGAAGGTTCTGGAAACTATCTGATGCCCTATATAAGGCCGGTATAGACTACGACCGGGGAGTATTGAAGTGGCGATACAAGA